CCTTGTCTTTGTGTCAAACACATGGACATCACTGTGCCAGCCCCAGAAGATCTGCTCTTCCTGGAACAGAAACCATCGGTTAGGAGCTCTGTGGCTGAAACACATGTACTGGTGAAGGTGAAGTGATGGACAGCGTCGCCACGGTGGCAAAGCCTGGCCCACGCCACACCCCACAGCTGCCCTCAAGCCCACGCCACGCTGCTGCCCGCCTCCAGGACAGCGACTCCCTCACTCAGGGGGTTTTCACTTCCTCAGTTGTATGAGACAGAATGAACATTTATATTTTGAGACCTATTTCAAAACTTATCTTTGCTATAATAAACTTTAGTTGGCTGTTGTTTGCTACATTAAAAAAAAGTACTAATTAGGGGAATGGGGGAGGGGAATGGGATGGAAAGACTGCTCAACATTTAAGAGCACTGACTGTTCTCCTGGAGGACCCACGTTCAACCCCCAGCACCCACAGGGCAGCTCACAACTGTTTGTAACTCCAGGCCCGTGGGATCCAACACCCTCTTCTGGCCTCTGCCAGCATGGCACACACATGGTGTACAGACATACATGCAGGCAGAACATCTATACACATAATATAAAAATAAAGGTAAAAAAGTTAAATTCACCAGGCATGATGGTGCATGCCTTTAATCCCAACACTCAGGAGGCAGAGCAGGGGAATCTCTGAGTTTAAGGTCAACCTGGTCTACAGAGTGAGTTCTAGGACAGCCAGGGCTACACAGAAAAACCCTGTCTCAAAAAAAAAAAAAAAAAAAAAAAAAACAGTAAGTAAGTAAATTTAAAGTTAAACTCTAATTGATCCCTTCTACTTTACCAAGAAATTTGGTTCCCCTTTCTAAAAAATGTTTTTCATATCTGGGCATGATTAATCCCAGTACCTGGGAGGCAGAGGCAGGTGGATCTCTGTGAGTTCGAGCAGAGCCTGGTCCACAGAGTGAGTTCCAGGACAGACTCCAAAGCTACACAGAGAAACCCTGTCTTGAAAAACAAAAGGGAGGGAGAAAGAGAGAAAGAAAGAGAGAGAGAGAGAGAGAGAAGGGGGGGGGCAATTCCTAAGGCGTATAGTGATGCTGAATTAAAGAAAAAATCAAAGAGTGATTACTTCCTTACCCAAGATGCATCATGTACATCAAAACAGTCTTGAAGTTCACTGTGCCTCCTGTACCCATAACCACCAAAATATATTAATCTGAAAAACAAATGCAGAGGACAAACTTTAGGAGTCTTGTTTCTAGTTTGCTCAGATAGTTGAAATAGCTGGGCACCATTGCTCAGGTCTGCAATTCTAGCACTCAGGAAGCTGAGACAGGAGGATTATCATGTGTTCCCAAGTCAGCCTGGGCTACTTAATGAATTCTAGGCCAAGTCCAGAATGAGACCCTGCAGCAAAAGTCACATAAACAAAAAGAATTTGAGGGGCTGAAGAGATGGTTCAGTGGTTCAGAGCACTGGCTGCTCTTCCAGAGGATCAGGGTTCAGTTCCCACGTGGCAGCTCACAACTCCAGGGAATGCAATACTCTCTTACATGCAGGCAAAACACCAATGCACATGATATAAAGATGAGTAATAAATCATTTTTATTTTATTTATTTATTTTATTTGCTTTGGTGTTTTGAGACAGGGTTTCTCTGAGTAACAGCCTTAGCTATCCTGGAACTTGCTTTGTAGACCAGCCTGACTTCGAATTCACAGAGATTTGTCTGCCTCTGCCTCCCCACTGCTGGGATTAAAGTGTACCACCCCCCTCAGCTCCATAAATCATTTCTTAAAAAAACAAATTTGAAATCGATTTCTTCTCTTACCTTACCCACCTAAACAAGCCAAATAAACTACACAATTAGGGTTTAAAAAAACAAAGAACTCAGGGAACGAGACATGAAGGAAATAACCTCAGCAGGTGATGAACCTACAGTGGGAGAGAAGAGATTCACAGGCTTCCTCATGCCTCCTGCAAGGGCAGGAGAAAGGGGCCACTAGATACGTGGGGACATGTAAAGAAAAACCACCACGCTGCCAGCAGTCACGCTTGGGCTGGGATGGCAAATTAGAGTCAGAGGAAAGTCAGCCTCAGGGGATTGAACGCGTGCCCCGTGTCCCGACTCTTGTAGTCTTTAGGGAAGCTCAGTAGGGTCTTCAAAAGCTGGACCAGGGCTTTCGGGATAATTAGTAGCAGAGTGCTTGCCTAGCTGTGTGAAGCCCTGGGTTCGCTGAAGAACTGAAGGGGAAAAAGCTGAAGTTCAAGAGGACAGGTGAGCAAATCCCCTGGGGATAATTTAAACTTTCAACTGCTGGAAGCACCTGGGTCAGAGCAAAGTTGTACCCAGGAATCATCTGAGGAATCTGAAAAAGTCAAGACCACCAGGGACTGTGCTTGAATAGCGTTTGGAGCTTTAGAAGTTTCCAGTAGCCGATGTGTGGAAGCCACACCCAAGAAGAAAAGAAACACAGACTTAGGGGCTCTTTGTGGTGGGGGCAAAGGGACCATCGTGGTGGACAGGGTAGACAGAGGAAGCTGGCCTTCCATGTGCACTTTTCAATATAGCTTCAGATTTTAACAGGTCAATGTGATAATGATCTAGAAACAAATAAATTATTCAAGGCGAAAAATCCAAACATCGTTTCTTCCATGTTTTTGTTTATTTGGTTGGTTGATTTTTGGTTTTGGGTTTTTTTGGGTTCCTTTGTTTGTTTTTTGGTTTTTTGACACAGTTTCTCTGCAGCTTTGGATCTTGTTGTCCTAGAACTAGCTCTTGTAGACCAAACTGGCCTTGAAGTCACAGAGATCCACCTGCCTCGCCTCCCAAGTGCTGGGATTAAAGGCGAGCACCACCACCGCCCAGCTCCCGTGTTCACTTTTATAACATGGTTCTTACCAGTTTTAGGGCGCTGTTGCCACTGACATCAAAACATATTATAATTACTGGAAAACATGGTGATTCCTCAAGCTTGGCCAAAGGCTATATCCTAACCTAAGGATATTAAAGTTCAGGTGCCGCTTTACCTGTCTTTGAACACCCAGCAGGAAAGTTTGTCACGTGGTGTGGGTGGTTGTCCATCAAACTTGGTGACTTTTTCCCAGACATAAGTTCCATCTCTTGTTCGTAAGTTGACAAAGTAGAGCTTTGAAAAGATGACGGTAACATTAGGAGCCAACACATCTGGAAATGAGTCTGCCATCCAAAAACTAACCCAACTTTTATTTCCAATAAATACCCATTAGAAAATTTAAATTATAGAATTGATGAAAACAAGACGGGATTACAGAAGCAATGGTGTGGAGAACATACTGCAACAGCCCCTTCCCCCCTGCTCTTGCCTGTGGGCAACAATCAAGAATGCAGCTCACTGAAGGAGGGACACACAGAGGAACACGGCTGCTGTGTCCTCCATCTATCTTTAACGTCTACCGACTCTAAACTTAGGATGCCCTCCAGCTGTCTTCTCCTTAAAGGATCTGCAGATGTGTGGCATGAGCTAGCACAGCAGGGACTCATGTACCGCACTCTTGAGGTAGGAGAAAGGATTACTCGGTTGCTGTAGCCTTTGTCATCATAGCCTCCAAACACGTACAGCCTGCCGTTGATGCAAGCCCCACAGCTTCCCGACATGGAGGTGGGGAGCTCTCCTTCCATCAGGTGCATTTTCCTACAACAAGGACCACAGAGAATCTCTTACTTTCCTAGCAGACATAAGCTCCCTTTAAATTCCCTGAGTACTCTTCCCATAGCCAACTGGAAGCAAAATGTATAGCCAGGTGCCATCACACACACCTGTAATCCCAGCCCTGGGGAGACTGAGACCGGAAGATGAGAGCTGGGGACCTGTCTGGGTTACAATGCGAGACCCTATCCCCAAATAAAAGAAAACAATGAATAAATCAAGAAGGGTGAAGAGACAATAAAGACTTTCATCCTGCCGGGGAGGGCACGGTCCAAGAAGTTCTCATGCTGAGTCACCCTGAGTAAAACCCTCTTCAGAGACAGTGAAGGCTTTGAAAGGGATGGGGAGGGACAGAGGGAGGGAGAGAACTGTAGAGAGAGGAGGGGCCATTGTGAACGTGGGGTGTGCGAAGCCTGCTCTTGTCCCCTAGGGTCTACGAAGACTGGCATTTTGTGCTATGACAGTACTCACCACAGCCCGCTGTCAATGTCGTAGGTCCAAAGTTCATCGCTCGGCAAGTACACCTCATTGTCTTCAATAGACTAAAAATGAAGAACGCACAAAATTACCACTCTTATTATGTTCTTCACGTATGAAGTTCAAATAGTTCCTTGGGGTGAGAAAAACTGAAGTCAATGTTTAGAATAAAACGAGAAATATATGAGTCTCAAGAAAAAGGCTCAGGGTAGCTAAACTTTCACCTAGAAAAACAACTAAAGACAGCAGAGCATTGTAGGTCACACATTACAGAAGACTGCTTGGGGTGAAGAGAGCTAGGGAAAGAAGGGCTTTCCTGAAGATATAACCAGGCACACTGCACCGAAAACCTTCACACACTGAACACATTTGGAGCGTGCTGTAGGGCATTTGTACCCTGTGTGAAGATGGATTGCTGTGATTGGTGTAATAAAGGTCTGAACGGCCAATAGCTAGGAAGGAAGAGGTTAGTTAGGTGGGACTTCCAGGGGACAGAGGACTCTGGGGAGAAGAAAGGCAGAGTTACCACCCAGATGCCGAGGAAGCAGGATGGGTAGTGTGGGGAGGTCAAGGAGACACTGGAGAGGTTGGACATAGGGTGCAAAGCAGAGGTAGCCGGGCCACATGGAAGAAGGTAGATTACTAAAGCAGGTTAAGTTATAAGAGCTAATGGGACAGTGGCTAAGCTGATGGCCAAGCTGTCACAATTAATGAAGGTCTCCATGCGGCAGTTTGCAGGCTGACAGTTCTAACATCAGAGTACTGTTCTGTGAGTGCCTGCTGTGTCCTCGGCATCGCTGGCTCTGAAGGCTGTTTCATGCCTGATTCCCCGTCCTGGACACTGTTATCTCAGACCTCATTAAACCTTAAAAAATTATTTGGTGCCGGGCGATGGTGGCGCACACCTTTAATCCCAGCACTGGGGAGGCAGAGGCAGGGGGATCTCTATGAGTTCGAGGCCAGCCTGGTCTACAGAGCTAGTTCCAGGACAGGCTCCAAAGCCACAGAGAAACCCTGTCTCGAAAAACCAAAAAAAAAAAAAAAAAAAAAAATTATTTGGTTTTTCTTTGTTTGAGAAAGGGCTTCACTTTGTTCAGACAGGCCTGCAGCTCACCACAAACACCACAGGGGCAGAGGTCACATCTACTTGTTATAGTTAATTTCTCAGAGCTTTGGACAGTGTCCTCATAGAGACAGGTGGACCTCTGTGCATTCGAGGCCAGCCTGGTCTACAGAGCTAGTGCCAGAATGCCTCATACGTAAAAGGCAAAGGGAATTTTTTGTTTGTTTTTGAGACAGGGTTTCTCTGTGTAGCCCTGACTATCCTGGAACTCACACTGTAGACCAGGCTGGCCTCAGACTCACTGAGATCACCCTGCCTCTGCCTCCCGAGTGCTGGGATTAAGGTGTGCACCATCACCGGCTGGCTATGGCAAATGGAATTTATACTGGATAGCCAAGCAGGCTAATTCCTGAAGAACTGACTGCAACTTCATTTTAGCCAGGAAAAGCTCTGTTTGACTAACATTTCACGGGGGATACAGAAACACAAGTGAAGCCCGAGTCAGAGAAGTTGGCACTAGTTGCTCAGAGCCTTCACCCCCGCATTACACCTTCTTAAATGGAGCTTAAAAAAATTTATGTGTGTGTATGTGCGTGTGTGTGTCTGTCTGTCTGTCTGTCTGTCTGTGCAGGTGCACATGAAGGTCAGTGGCATGGAATCCCTTGGGGCTGGAGTTACAGGTGTTTGTGAGCCATCCGACATGGCAGCTGGGAACCAAATCAGGGGCTTGTTGAAGAGCAGGAAGCACTCTTAGCCACTGGGATGCCTCTCCAAACCAATCTCCTCTCTTCTAAATCAAGTTTCCTTTTCCATTGGATCATCCCTATGAATCGTCCCAAATTTGATCTGACCCATCTTTTAAAACCCGAACCATTCTCGACTTCCTCTCTTTCCACTCCTATGCTCCCGTCACAGAAAAACCAAAGAACCAACCAACCATCCGCACTGAATTATCTGTAGTAGATGCTGTTGTCACACAGCCTGTGCCCGTGGCTTTTGTGCAGGCTACGCAGGTGCTCTAGCGGCCAGCTGTGCTGCACCCCTGGCTTGGCCCTTGACCTTTGAACTTTGAGAGTCAACACAAAGATTTAACGCGGAAAGGAGTCCATTTCCTGAATGACATCTCTGGGGACTGTCATGGTGGAAGAAGAGAACGAATCCCTGCAAACTGTCCTCAGATCACACCCCACCTGGCAACACAGGCACACACAAATAAACAAGCGCAGATTTTCACCTTGAACTTTATGAAGCGTTCCTATGAATGTAAATAGGGGAGCAATAAAATGACTAAAAATAAGTTGCGTAATTTCTACGTAAACAAAAAGAACTGAAGAAGAACAAACCCTTCTGAAGCAATCCTCAAATTGCAAAAGTTAAGGAAGGAGAATGAGGAACAGCCGAGAGGAGAACACATAAGACACGTTCGGTGACGAGTACACCAGGCCGGTGTGGTGGCACAAGCCTTTCACCGCAGCTCAGGAGGAGAGGCAGAAAATCTCTAGGATCTCTGTGAGTACGAGGCCAGCCTGGTCTACAGAGAGAGTTCCAGGCCACCCAGGGCTAGACAAAGAAACCCTGTCTCAGACAAACAATTAAATAAATATAACAATAATAATATTTAAAAGAATACTGTTGTAAGTACAGAAATTTTGAACGTTTACTTAAGTAAACTATAGGTCCAACAACTAATGGAAAATACAAAGTATGCGAGGCACTGATGGCGCACACCTGTAATCCCATCCAAGGCAGAGGCAGGCAGATCTCTGTGAGTTCAAGGCCAGCCTGGTCTACAGAAAGAGTTCCAGGAAAGCCAGGGCTACAAACCAGACAGAAAAACCCAGTCTTGAAAATAATTTTTAAAAATTTAGAATTGTAAAAAGACAAAATATTGCTTACCCAAACTTGTAGCTAAAGGGGCATTTGTAAGAAAATGCACAGCCTCAAGTATATTAGCCAATTTAAAGGAGCAACCTAAGAACCCAACTTCAGCAGTTCAAGAAGGAGATGAGGCTGGTGGGGCAGTCTGCAACTGTTACTCAAGGAGCTGAGCCAGGAATAGTTCAATGCCTGCCTGGGCCTTGGAGTGAGTGCAGTTCAAGGGCACCTGACCAGTGTGACACATGGACCCAAAGTAAAAAGGGCTTGAAACATAGATCAGCAGCAGAGCTTGCCAGCAAGATCCTAGGTTCAATTCTCAGTCCTGGGGGAAAAAAAATTCCAGAACTAACGCAGAAGAAGCTGGTGGGGAGGAGCCTGGGAGTGAGAAGCAGGAGGATGACTACCAGTTCAAAGCCAGCCTGGTCTATATGTCGAGTTTCAGGACAGCTGGGCCTACAGAGTAAGACTCTGTCCCCCAAACAAACAAAAGCAAACAAAAACCACTACATAAATCACAGAATACTAGAAGTAATAAAAATAGATACTAATAACAGAAAAATAAAGTACAGAGGATCCGGTAAATTGAGCTTATTATTCAAAAGGCTGATAAACCTCTGACGAGATTATCTAAGGGAGAAAGAAGTCACCAACAGCAATTTTTAGAGTGGAAAGGGGGACATATGTATGTAGTGATATTTTATTTGTATTTTAATAAATAAAGTTTGCCTGAAGATCAGAATGCAAAGCTAAGTCACTAGAGGTCAGGGGGTGGTGGCACACACCTTTAATCCCAGGACTCAGGAGACAGAGGCAGAAGGATCTCTGTGAGTTCAAGGCTTCCCTGGGCTACACAAGATCAATCCAGAAACAGATCCAGGTGTTGGGGGCTCACCCCTTTAATCCCATCACTAGGGAGGTGGAGACAGGAGGGATGTGGCTGAGTGGAGAGAGGAATATAAGGGGAAGAGACAGGAACTCATGGGAGTTGGAGTCTGAGGATTTGTGGAGACAGGATCTCACCTTTTTGGTCTGGGGTAAAAAGTCTCTCTAGTTGTTGGTTGCTTTGCTTTTCTGATCTTCAGTTTTGAACCCCAATGTTTGTCTCTGGGTTTTTATTACTTGTGCTACATCGAATAGTTTAGATAGGTAGGTAGGTAGGTAGGTAGGTAGATAGATAGATAGATAGATAGATAGATAGAGACAAAAATTCCTTACACTAAACCAGACCAACAGCAGAAATCAACTAAAGAAAAATTTGAACATGAAAGGCAAACTAAAATGTTTAGAAAATAATAATGGGCACAAGCTACAGAAAACACAGAGCACTGAGAAAAGGGCTGGAATTAAAATTATATTAGAATGTATTATGTAAAACTTTTGGCCAAAGAAAGAACTATTGAGAAAGTACAAAAACAAACTCCAAACTGACATTTTTTCAATTTATATTTATTTTTAAATGTGTAAGTGTGTGTGTGTGTGTGTGTGTGTGTGTGTGTGTGTGTGTGTGTGTGATAGCTGAGGAGGTCTGAAGAGGGTGTTGGATCCCTTGGGCCTGGAATTACAGAAGATTGTGAGCGACCTTGCGGGCACTGGGAAATGAATCCCAGTCCTCCAGAGCAGTCAGTGTTCTTAAGCACTGAGCCACGTCTCCAGTGTGCTAGGCTTTTCCTTTGCTTTTACGTTTAGTGTGTGCACACCATAGTACCCCTGTGGAGATCAGAAGACACATGTGGGTGTTGGTTCTCTCTTTCCACAGCGTTGGTCCCAGGGGTCCATCTGAGATCATCAGATTCGACACCAAGTGCCCTACCTGCTGAAGCATCTCACTGGCCCAGCATCTTCAATTCATATAACTATACACTAAAAGAATCCATGTAAATCTTTAAAAAAACACAACCCAACAGAAAAATGCATAGACCAGTATTTTCACAAAAGAGAAAACACAAATAGATCACAAAGTTATGAAAATAAACTGATACTTATCAGTAACCTTGACCACCAAGCTGGTTCTGTGGATAAAAGCACTTACCACACAAGCGTGGGAACCTTGGTTCAGCGCCCCAGACATGGGGCGGAGACAGGAGAATCGCCCAGAACCGAGCACCAGCTCGCCTGGAATCTGCAGCAGCAGCAGGCAGCATGGCGAAACAAAGGGAAGGAGAGAACCAATTCCACAAAGTTGTCCTTTGACCTCCACATATGCACCACAGTACACGTCCCTGCACTTCTACACACACACACACACACACACACACACACACACACACACACACACGGCAAACATCATTAATCTGAGCAATGAAAACCAAAACTACAATGAAATACCATGTCACCCTCATTGTGTTGGCAGAAAAAATAAGGGCAGATGGTAGCAAATGTTGTTTAGGATGTGGAAGAATGAGGAGGCTGGTGGAGATGTAAATTAATACAAATATTTTGTCAACCATCTGAAATCTCCAATTCAGTTTGCCCGACAAGTGGTCCAGCACTCTATTCTTTGGTACAGGCCCTAGAGAATGAACACGCCCTGTGCGTGTAACAGACAACGTAAGGATGCTCGCTGCCGCTGCTCATTATAGCAATGAACAACAACAACAGTCACCAAAAGTGGACTAGCCGAGTAACAGCGAGCTTACACAGCGCAACATTGCATAGGATACACTTCAGTAACGGACCGTGGCTTGCAGTGTACTTGAGAACTATCTGGTGATATTTAGCGAAGTTATAGCACAGGTCCTGAAGAAATGGAATGGATAATAAATAAGAGGACTAAAAGGTGGTGAGGTGAAGTGGTGCTAGTGGTGATGGCAGTAGACAGCTAAATCTCTAGGTTTAATCCCAGCACTCGGAGGCAGAGGCAGGTGGATCTTTGAGTTTGAGGTCAACCTGGTCTACAGAGAGTTCCAGGATAGCCAGGACCTCAGAGAAACCCTGTCTCTAAATTCCTACATTCGTACGTACATACATACATACATACATACATACACACACACAGTACTTGCTGCCCTTCCAGAGGACAGCCGTTCAGATCCCAGCATGCAAGTCAGGCACTTGGGTGGCTCACAACTTGCTATTCCTACTTCAGGGGATCTGGCGCCCTCTTCTGACCTCTGTAGGTACTCCCACACACAGCAGCCATATACATACATACACATAGCAATTTTTAAAAAGAACAATTAAACTGATTTTAAAAAACATGTGTCTCGAGGTGGTGGCACAAGCCTTTGATTCCAACACTCAGGATACAGAGGCAGGTGGATCTCTGTGAGTTCAAGGCTTGTCTGGTCTACAAAGTGAGTTCTAGGACAGCCAGGGCTACACAGAGAAACCCTGTCTAGAAAAGCAAAACATAAACCTAAAAGGGAAAATATGCTATAATTAAATTCTCAGATCAAATACTATACTGCTTATAGATGTATGTGTGATAGTGTCAAAGAAGAAATTCAAGATATTGATCATATCTACTCTACAGGTAGGTAATGGACTTTTATGTTTTTACTCCTATTTTATTTCTACTTTTTCAAATCTTCTTCTTTGACAGAGTCTGGCCCAGACTGGTTACTAGCCCCCTATTAGCTCGCCCAGTGGTGAGCTGCACACCTGCTCCCTCTGCCTCACCTCTGCAGTGCTGGGATTGCAGCGGGGATCACATGGCCATCTTCCCAACCCAACCCGGGACTTCATATGCACAGGCAAGGACTCTACCTCCTGCGTCCTCCACTTCTTTGAAACTCACTTTCCAACTGCTCTTGATTTTTGTAGGACTTGAGTCTACCATATACATTACACATATTTCCTCATTTAAGATTAGGGTTCTCATTTCGCGGTGCTTTTATAAAAGCTATTTTAAAAACTTTGAACTGTCAATTTTTTCTTTATATATTTTTCCAACTCAGATTTTCTTTTCTCGACCCAGAATTTTAAAATAGTCCTCTTCCTTCCCCCACAGCGAAGTTCTGTTTTCCTGTTGAATTGTCAGTCCTAAGGCTCTGATGGAATTTTCCTCTAGCTATCTTAGAAGAAGCATTTATTGTATAATTAGTTATCCAGATTCAAAATGCTGCTTTTACAAACAAAAACAGTCACATAGCCTGACTGTCCGTGCGATCTCTCTCCCAGCCCATGGCACTGATTGCTTTAGAGTGTCCTCCTCCCGTCACCCCTCTCAAACATTTTCTAAACAGATCTTCCATACATAACAGGCAAGATTATCATATTTATAGATTAAATTTTCTAGTTCAGAGAAAAATTCATCCTTATCAGTCCTGTTAAGAAACATAAGTGCCTGATTGAGGTCCCGAGAGGAAGATCCACCATCTATGGACAGACAATGACTCTTCCTTCACGATCTCGGGAACCACCCACATTTCACGGCCCTGCCAGCAGCACTGACAGCCTGTGTGGACGCCAACAAACTGGGAAAGCCACAGGGGAGCAGAGAGCAAGAGTATCCTAGCACGACCTGCACTGGCCTCGTGAGACCAGCTTCAGTTCCATTGCTTCTTCTCAAGCAAGAAGCACCTCGGACAGCTATCTGTTTTCAGGACGCGCATCTGTCAGCTTCCACACAGGCGCCGCTTGCATTAACGAGGAAAACTGGAATATAAAACAGACGACGCCAACCATATTCCTAACCACCGACTGCTGGAATCCCTCCAGCTGCCTGGACCTTTCAGCCGTCTCCTGCTCCAAAGGCCCTTCTAGGACAGTTGATGAAAGAATCCTGCATTTTCTGGAGATAAGGCATGTGGTCTTTTTGGCTTCCTACTTTTATTCCCCGTCCACTTACACCTGAGGCGTTACCGCACTGATGATGACTTCCCCCTCCCACTTACACCTGAGGTGTACCACACTGCTGCTGGCTCCTGGGGTTTAGGAAGGAACAGACCCAGTATTTAATCTGTGTTGTATTTTTTCAGGGTGGTGTGTGGAATGCCTCTGCTCTTTGAAATATTCTGGAGAACTGGACTCTTACTGATTATAATTTTCAAGAGTAAAATAAAAATTTAAAACATTCCAACATTTCCTTTATAACGCCAAAGAATTATAATGCACTGGTCTTTTTCATTTGTGGAGTTAAGGTGAATCCATACAAAGATGAGATATTTGAAGATTGCTATTATTTTTGAGGCAAGGTCTTGTAGTCCAGGCTACCCTTGATCTCACAATCTAGCAGAGAAGGCCCTTCAGCTCCTGCTTCTCCTGCTTCTGCCTCCCAACTTCAGGCCTTACAGGTATGCTGCTACACAACCTGGCTGGCAAGATTATTATTTTAATTTTTTCCATTTACCTTATACCATTATCAAGACAACCCGATAATAACACAGCATATAAAATTTAGTAAGTCTATATCTCCAAGTGGTAGATCTTTAAAAACATTATTTAAAAACTTAATGTGCACACGGCCATCATTTGTATATGTAATATGTGCATACTGCCATTATCGTGTGTTATGAAGCCAGGCCAGGAAAGGACCACTAATAATCCCAACACTCAGGAGGTGGAAGGTGGAGGGTGGAGGATCAGGAGCTCCAGGGTGGTACCTGAGACCAGTTTCAAAACAAAACAAACAAACAAACAAACAAACAAATAAACAAAAACAGATAAAGCCAAAAACGATGGGAGAGCTAGTTGTTGTCACTCCTGCCTGTAAGTTTGAACACTGGGAGGCAAAAACAGGAAGCTAGCCCTAACTCTGGAGCCAACCTGGGCTACACGGGAAATTCTAGGCCAACCTGTTTGAGCTGCAGTGTTGAGATGTCTCAGTTAACTAAATTAATAAAACAAGGCTCCAGAAAGCAGTCCCTGGTGTCATATGACCATCAAAGGGTCAATGCCTTTCTTTATAAAATGGAGACTTGGGGCTAGGGAGATGGCTCAGTGGTTAAGAGCTCTGGCTGCTCTTGCAGAGGCCTTGGATTGGATTCCCAGTACCCACGTGGCGGCTCACAACCGTCTATAATGCCAGTTCCGGGTATCCAACACCCTCTTCTGACCTACACGGACAGCAAGCATACACAAGACGCAACGACGTACATACAGGCAAAACATTTGTGTACATAAATCTAAAAATATTAAAATAAAATGGAGACTTGTGGGCTATACAGATTAGACCGTAATCTATGATCCTATTGGTTAAGACTGAGAGTTCCTAGGGACTCTCAAAAGCTAATTCTGATTTTTTCTTTCCGATGCTGCACTACATTAGGAATAAACACACAAAACAACAACAAAAGCCCACTTAGACCTGAGAATTCTTAACACACACATTATGCACTTTATTTCATTGTGAGTCACTCGGGTTACAGGTCTGTCGTATAAAGGTATAGAGAAGTCAGACGATATAGCGTCTATTTCCAGTAGGGCTTCCGTGGGGCTTATTTTCTAATCCGTAAACGAACGGGGTTGGCGTGGATGACCCGAATTATTTTTCCAACTCGATAATTCTTGCTATCATTCTCCGACCATAGAAACAAGACAAACTGGGGCTGGAGAGATGCCTCAGAGGTTAAGAGCACTGCCTGCTCTTCCAAAGGTCCTGAGTTCAATTCCCAGCAACCACATGGTGGCTCACAACCATCTGTAATGAGGTCTGGTGCCCTCTTCTGGCCTGTAGGCATACATGCAGACAGAATATTGTATACATAATAATTTTTTTTTGTTTGTTTGTTTGTTTTTTGTTTTTCGAGACAGGGTTTCTCTGTGGCTTTGGAGCCTGTCCTGGAACTAGCTCTTGTAGACCAGGCTGGTCTCGAACTCACAGAGATCCGCCTGCCTCTGCCTCCCAAGTGCTGGGATTAAAGGCGTGCGCCACCACCGCCCGGCTAATAAATAAAATATTAAAAAAAAAAAAAAAGAAACAGACAAACTCACATTCCAACCGCCATGGCAATACGAATTTTCAACCACAGAATTCCGTGGTGCGGTGTTGCGAATACAAATCTATTTTTGAGACTACGTAAGTACTTAATTAGCAAAGAAATGCCACTAAAAATAGCTGATACATTTAACTGCTTGGTGACTTGGGTATTTTAGGTCGCACCGTGGCAATAAAGACAGTATAACACAGCACAGAGTCCAGGGGTCTTCTCCAGTCCTGCGCCACGGAGGCTGGAGGAGGCACGCACCCCGAGACCCCGGTTGGGTGGTTTGGGGAGCCGGGGCGACCACGGGCGGCCCGCGGCGAGTGGGGTGCGCTGCGCAGGCGAGCCTCCTGGAAGCCGCTGGGGGTGCCGCGGTGCCGGCAGTCATCCCCCCCCCCCAGCCGCCGCTCCCGCGCCGCCCCGGCGCGCCCGCCCCTTCCCCTTACCACGTAGCCCCCCCACACGTAGAGGAAGTGTCCGTCCACCACAGCGCAGTGGCCGCTGCGCTCCTCGGCCACGCAGAAGGCCTGCGAGTCCGCCATCGGCCCTCCGCGGCCCAGCCAGCTCGGCGCCGGCTCGCACGCACGAACGGAACGCGAGGAGGGTCCAGATTGGCGCAGGCGGAACCGGGAAAGCTGCGCGGTTGCGCGGCTGCGCGGCCGCCGGGTGCGGCGGCGGTGGGGGGGGCTCGGGGGAGGGAGGGGGAGAGAGGGGTTCTGGGGTTGGGGGGGCAGGATGCTCCCAGGAAAGCTCCTTAGACACATCTCGCTCCTCTACCTGAGCCTCTCTGCAGCCACTGTCTGGACTTCTTAGGTCTTTAGTCATCTGGAACCGTTTCTTCACTTCCTTCTCGTGACGTTCATTTATTTTTAAAAATTATTTTATGTGTATGTCTGTGGATCATGTACATCGTGGGCCGAGCGTTATGGGTGTGAACCTCCATGTGGGTGCTGGGAATCCAACTTGGGTCCCCTCAGCCCTTCCTCTCCAGCTCCATGATGTTCATTTGTGAAGTGAGCTTGCTTATTTTCCTGCACTTGGGCCACGTGCTGGGCTTATGAACCTCACCTGGGCCAGCTCATTGACTTGTATCCTCTCCACTTTTTTTGTAGTTCTGGCAGTGCTCTGCCAATCCTCCTGCCTCAGCCTCCAGCGTGCTCACACTACCACGTCCGGCTATAGGTTGGAAATCACGTCTGAGGTTTTTGCTTTTGTAGTGTCTGAGTGCTTATTTTTTTTTTCTTTTTCCTTCACGTGTACTTACTCTAGTGCTAATCACAGTAGAAGGCATTGGCGCCTGAGGCACCGAGTGATACTTTTCTAGTGTTTCTTCGTGGTAACGTGTGTGAACGCAGGCACAATTCCCCTTAACCCAGAAGAGAGCATTATTGTCTGCCCGGCTCTGTATCTTGCTTTCCCCACTTGCATAAACTTTTTCTGGTGAGAGGAACAACCTTCTGTTCAATAGACCGAGGAAACAATTCCGTCCAGGTCTCGGTTGATGAACTAATGAGTTTAATTACAGTTACAAGAGCATGGCCTAGACCACTGAATAAAAAATGTCTCTGCCTAGCAACTGTTAACTGCCTACAAAAGCTGGAGGATGGGAGCTCGTGAACCTTACTTCCCTCGCAACTGTCAACTGTCTACAAATCCACTGGTGGCAGGGAGCCCCTCCCCCACCCCACAGTCAATGCTGATCGCTTTCTACAATGGTCCACCTCTTACCATCCTTCCGCCTCCCTCTTCCAGGTTGTCCCCTGAGACTTGGATAGGATGTATAGATGTACCATTCGGGTTGGGCATTCAGAAACATTTCTACTGGTTGAGTCTCCCGCAGTATCAGAAACTTCATTGACCAAAGATGACAGCTGTACTAATGGTTGGGCAGAAACACAAATATTTAGGAGGCAGTTAGACAGATACATATCACTTAGCAGCCTTCCAGAAAGTCTATGGTTTCTCGCCACGGGCTTTTGACCGGGTTTACAGAACCAGCCACCAATTCTCTCTTATGAGGTCCATGAATCCAATCAGAAAATAATTGGTTTTACTGGTAACAGTTTCACCAAAGGGCACATCAGGCCTAATGTGTTGATACTGTAGCCCCCAGGATCCCCAGCCAAGTGGGACCGGTGGTTACAATTTCCCCTAAGCAGCCCGATTAGTGCCTTCCAGAACCATGAAAGCTAGCCTGGAGGGAGGAGGACCAGTTCAGTCCGATATCGGTTTTTCTGTGTCTTTTCACTAAAGCATGTTGTATGTGATGTCTTTGGCATCTATCTGTATTAGGGCTCTCTAGAATAACAGAAATTATAGAATGAATCTCTGTAGAGGTAGGGGATTTATTAAAATGGTTTAACACTAATCCAACAATGATGGCTGGCTGTGAACCAGAAGTCCAAGAACCCAGCAGGTGCTCTGTCCACAAGGTTGGCTGTCTCAGCTGGTCTTCTGTAGGTGCTGGGACCCTGAAGAAGTAGAAGTAGGCTCTAACACCAGTGCCAGTGAAGGAATGGATGTGCTGGCAAGAAAAGGGCAAACAGGCAAAAAGCAAAAGCTTCCTTCTTCCATGTTCATTTATGGAAGGCTTCCAGCAGAAGGCGTGGCCCACACGCCTTGGATATGGGACTGAACTGGCTCTTCCTCGCTCCAGGCTAGCTTTCCTAGTTCTGGAAGGCACTAATCAGTGTGTCTTCCCACCTCAAGATCCGGATTAAAGGTGAATGTCTTCCCTCAAAATCCATCTGAGAAGTGGATCTACCAAACCTGGCTATGGTGGCATGTACCTTTAATCCCAACACTCTGAAGTCAGAGGCAGGCAGATCTGAGTGCAAGGCCTTTCTGGTCTACACAGTGAGTTCCTGGACAGCCAGGGCTACACAGAGAAACCCTGTATTACAAGAAAAAGAAAGTGGATCTACCCATGTCAAATTAAGCAAAAATCCCTCACAGGTGTGCTCTCCACTTTTGGATTTTTAGTTAATTCCAGATGCAGTCCAGTAGACATCTAAGAATAGCCGTCACAGCCCACCCCCTTGCCAACTTGACATACAATCACCTTCTTATATCATAATTAATTTCCAAATGAAAACAATAACCAGGTCATAACACCCACATACAATCACGAACACATCATCTATTTAACCAGGTCATAATTACACATAACATATATAGTTATCCCTTAGACAACCACAAATGCATGACAAATTTAGAATAGGTGGCAATGTCTCTTGGGAGACATTCTTTTAATATCTCAAACTTAAGTATCATAACCACTGATAGTCTCTTAATTTACATTATATCACATGATAAACACAAATATCTGTACAAATGCATTCTCACCAAAATACAACAGAAACATTCATGTTAAGTATAATCTTTGTTTCTGTAGCTGGTCACGTGGCCTTAGCCGGTATTTAGAACCACCTTTCTCTACTACCCATTCTGTATTTCCTTGGCAAGAGCCTCAGCAGGTCTCGGCTCTTTTCCTGGAGGAGTGACCCATCCCTTCCATTCCACACACGTCTGTGCCCTTCGTCACCCTGCCTGGAGGAGGCTGCTTTAGTTTCCCATTAACTTTAATCACGGGACGTGGTAGCACCAAGAGATGCCTTAAAGGATCTTCTGCAGTCTAGACGTAATCTTTCTTACCTGCATCGTGGAGAAGTAATCCAATTTCCCCGTGGCAATCTGGATCAATCGCCCCTCCTGACAAACACTGTTATTCCCTTCTTAGACTGCTGGTTTGAGAGCATTGGGAGCCCAAAGTGGCCAGAGAGAAGTCTGAGCTTCCAGTCCAATGGAATGTTTGTCGTGGCTCCTGGCAGGAGCGCTTCGTCCTCTGAAACCAAAACTCCTAAGTCAACAAAACATAAGGTTGCAGAAACAGGAAGCAGAAGTTTTTCTAGGGGTTCACTGGAAGTGTCAGTAAGTGGAACTGTTCCCTTTTCCACCCCCTCGATTTCTTTCTTTTCTTTCTTTCTTTCTTTTTTTTTCCGAGACAGGGTTTCTCTGTTTTTTTTTTTTTTTTTAAAAAGAATGAATTACATTTTTAATTGCGACAAATAGACATACCAGAGAATTTGCCACCATAGCCGTGTGTAAGTGTTCGGTAATGTTAAGTCCCTTCTCCTCTTGTCTGCCCAGCATCCAGGATGGTTCGCCATCTTCTAGAGCTGACACTCCACTCCCATTTTCTCTTTAGACCATTAGACCATTTTCTCCGTTTTCCATCTCCCTCGCCCTTGGAGCATGGGACTGTTTCCTTCTTTCCTCTCATATCACATCTTTGTGCATTCATCCCAGGGGAATCAAGCAAGCCTGGGGACATGGGATGTGCATCGTGCTGGGGCTATTCTCAGACAAGGAGTCACAGAAGATTCTAACTCGGGGACTTGTCGTGTGTTCTGCCTGGTGCTCATATCAATGCCTGTCAGTTCTGCGTTCTCCGTTGATGCAGCAGACCAGAGACCAGAGCATCACTGAGAAGTGCCCTGTCACATTACTGTCTTGCTTTTCTCTGTGGTTTTGGAGCCTGTCCTGGAACTAGCTCTTTCTGAACCCATGGATCCTGGCTATGGGAAAAACTCTACCTTATTCTGGACTCTGATTCAAAGCCTTTGCTGCCTTCTAGAGAATCCCACCCCAGTCTTCCTTGCTGCTGCCAGCTAACTGGTTCTGTAACTGGGTCTTCCAAAGGCCATCCCATCTGTCTTTCAGGCCAGCTGCTTTAGGATGGTAGGGGACATGGTAAGACCAGTGAATCCCATGACTGTGGGCTCACTGTTACATTTCTCTGGCTGTGAAATGACTTCCTTGGTCAGAAGCAGTGCCGTGTGGAATACTGACTGTGAATAAGGCATACTGTAGGTCCAAGGATGGTGGTTTTGGCAGAAGGAGTATGTGCAGGAAAGGCAAATCCATAACCAGAATAAATATCTACTCCAGTAAGGAAAACGCATTGCTCTTTCCATGGAGGAAGTGGCTGTTGACTGGTCACCCTGAGGAATGGCCCCGTATCTAAGGCTCAGTGTTGGTCTCTGCTATTGGTAAATCTAGCACCCAGAGGAGCTGTAGCCAGGTCAGCCTTGGTGAGTGGAAGTCCATGTGGTTGATCCCATTTCTGCCAAGATGGCCCCTTTGTTCATGGGCCCAATGGGCAGTGATGGAATTGCTGGGGAAAGAGACTGGCTGTTCACAGAAAGGGCCATCCACTATTGGCTTCTCTACTGCAGTCACCTTTTGATGAGCGTTTACACGACACGCAAGCATCTTCACATCCTCCACCCATCTGGAGAGATCTATCCATGTATTTCTTCCCCAGATGTCTTTCTCACCAATTTTCCAATTATGATCGCTCCAAGTCCCTGACTATCCAGCTAATCCATTGGTTACAGCCCATGAATCAGCGAACAATCGCACATATGGCCACTTCTCCTTCTGAACAAACTGTAATACCATGTGTACTGCCTGAAGTTCTGTTCATCGTGAAGATTTTCCTACACTGGTGTCTTCAGGGTTGTCCCAGGAAAGGGCTGTAATATTGCAGCTGTCCACCTCTGGGTGGTGCCTGCATAATGTATAGAACCATCAGTAAACCAGGCCCTAGACTTCCTCAATCAGTTGATCCTAGGGAATAGCCCGTGAGGCTATAGGTGTAGACCAGGCAGCAGAAGGCATTGTAATGAGAGACATTGGGGCAACTTTTTCACGTAACTGCTTGTGCCTCCAGGACCTGCTCAGGTATAGAACTGCCGGATCTTGCACGATTTCATATGTACACTTGCATCTGGTAATAGACAGCTGCTGTGCATGTCCTGCTTTACGACTTGGTGGACTGATAACACGGAGCTCATGAAGGGCTCAGTGCACACGGTAGCTTGGTGGCCATTGTCAAACTTCAGTTTCCACGGAAGCCCAATAGCAGGCCAAGAGCTGTCTTTCAAAGGGAGAATAGTTGTCTGCAGATGATGATAGAGCCCTGCTCTGGAATCTCGAAGGTCTCCTCTGTGACTCATCTATGGTGGTGGTGGTGGTGGGGTCTGTCAAAGGCTCCAAATGACAAAGAGCAAAAGCCTCCTTCCTTGTCCTCATATAGGCTTCCAGCAGAAGGTGTGGCCAGATTGAAGATGTGTCAGCTCACCTCAAAATCCAGTTTAGAAGTGAATCTTCCTACTTCAAACTGAGATTAAAGAAAAGAGTCCCTCACAGGTGCCCTCCATTTTTGGATTTTAGTTAATCTCAGACGTGGTCACATTGACAACCAAATATAGTCATCACACTATCTAAATATGGTGAGCAACCAATAGCAGAGGCAACAGTCTGTACTGTTTGGGGGACCTCAGGTACCCCCTTGGCATACAACTCATCAGGTGGTAAGCCAGGACTAACACTGCTATTTTCCTTTGTTTATTATCTATGACTTGTGTGAGTGCCCTACCCTTGCAGGGTATCTTCAATCAATTTTTTTTGTAACTGCTGTTTTAGCAACATGTTTTTATTTTCAATTTACCCAGGCCCTATAGGGATGTAGGGTAGGTGGAAGTACCATTGGAGCTGGTTGTCCCCAGGCCTGTTCTGCACACCGGTATTTATGAAATGAGTACCCCTGTCATTGTCAATTCTCTGGAGTGTTGTAGGAGGCTGTTAGTTCATTCCCGGCTGCTCAGCCCCAAAATAATCACACAGAAGCTATATTATTTGCAATACTGTTTGGCCAGTCACTTAAGTGTATTGCTACCTAGTTTTTATATCTTTGGTTAACCCATTTCTATTATTTTATATTTTACCACGAGGCTCGTGGCCTACTGGCAAGGTTCCATCTGACAGCACATCTTTCTCCTCTGGTTGCTCCATGGCTTCTCCTTGACTTTGCCTTCTTTCTCCCAGCATTCAGTTTAGTTTTCCCCACCTAGCTCTACTCTGCCCTATCACATGCCAAGGAAGCTTCTTTATTCATTAATCAATAAAGCAACATATATACAGAAGGACCTCCCACACCATTTCCCCTTTTCTGTTTAAATAAAAAAGGAAAGTTTTTGTGGCTGGAGAGATAGCTCAGAAGTTAAGAGCACTGGCTGCTCTTTCAGAGGTCCTGAGTTCAAATCCCAGCAACCACATGGTGGCTCACAAACATCTGGGGCTCACAACCATCTGTAATGAGGTCTGGTGCCCTCTTCTGGCTTTCAGACATACACACAGACAGAATATTGTATACTCAATAAATAAATATTTAAAAAAATCATTTTCAGCTGAGTGGTGATAGCACATGCCTTTAATTCCAGGACTCAGGTGGCAGAGGCAGGCACTTCTCTGTGAGTTCAAGACCAGCGTGATCTACAAGAGCTAGTTGCAAGACAGATTCCAAATCTACAGAGAAACCCTGTGTGGAAAAACCAAAAAAGAAAGAGAGAAATCATTTTCATGTTTTGTTTTTCGGAACAGGGTTTCTCTGTGTAGGTTTGGAGCCTGTGCTAGAATTTTCTATGTAGACCAGGCTGGCCTTGAACTCACAGAGATCTTCCTGCCTCTGCCTCCCGAGGTCTGGGATTAATGGTGTGCGCCACCACCACCCACCTCATTTTCATGTTTTTTGCTTATTTGTCTCCCTCCCACTAAGTCTCATGTATCCCAGGCTTGCCTTGAATTTGCTATGATATTCTTGCCTTCTCAGTGCTGGGATTACAGACCTGAGATATCATGCCCAGTGCTTCCTTGTGTCCCATAAAGTTGCAGGCTCACTTGTAAGCACTCCATGTTTTTTTCAGCTCACCGGAAAAAGCATTTTATTATTTAGGTTTTTATTTTTATTTAAGGTCTCACTGTGCACCACTGACTGGTCTGGAACTCACTATGTAGAACAAGTTGTCCTGGAACTCACAAGAGATTTGCCTGCTTCTGCCCTCTGAGTCCTGGCATTAAAGGCATGTGCTGTCACACTCAGCAAGAGCAAACATTTTTATTTTTTTATTTTTGAGACAGGGTTTCTCCGTAGCTTTTGGTTCCTGTCCTGGAACTCGTTCTTGTAGACCAGGCAAGAGCAAACATTTTAAAATGTGGCCTACCAAAAGTACCTTCCTTCGTCGCAAGTAAGTCGCTTGTAATTGTTTGTTTCTCCATATATAAAAAAAGGCTGCAGTGGAAGAAGTGGGGACACTGCTAATTAATGTATGAAACACATCAATTAATACATTTATATTGTTAATAACAACACATTGTGAAGAGGCCCTCAGCTAAAATGCTGGTTGGATGGGAGTGATGGAGAGAGTACCTGCTGGAGGAAACAGTGAAGACACAATATTTCCCAGGGTTTGTGTAGAACCTGTAAACAGGGCGGTCCTACACCTTCCATAGCCTTGGAAGGAAAGATCCTGGGTGCGGGAAGCTTGGCTAGAGTCAGAGCGAAGCCCGAATATGAGAGCGCCGAGTGTTTCAGAAATGCACTTGGAATAAAGGAAGCTTGTTCCTACTTAGATCGCTCTTGCTTCACTCCCCAGGCAAGGCGGGTTTCTGCTTCAGGACTAGGATCTGAGATTCTCCAGCTCTTGCTATGTGACGGACAAACGCACAACTCACCAGTTCAAGAATTTGGGGGCGGGGCAGGGGCGTGTCTAGCCGAGGAGGGGCGGAGCCCCGGTGGTGGCGCCAAATTGCGAACATGGCGCCGGAGCGGCTGCGGAGCCGCGCGGTCTCAGCTTTTAAGCTGCGCGGCTTGCTGCTGAGAGGGTGAGTCGTAAGGCAGCCTGTCCCTCCGCAGTGCCCCGGGCGCCCAGAGACCCTTAGAATATTCTGTTATAAAAGGAGAGGTCGGTCTTGTGCATTTGAGGGTGCAGATCCTCCCGGGGCTTCCGCGACTCTCGCGCCCGGTGCAAATGTTACTTCCAGGCTGGGCGGAGCTTGCGCTGCCGGGGGCTCAAGAGAACCCGGGAAATGAGAGGCTTAGGGCCTCAGATCAGCCGAGGTCCCCGTCTCTGCTGGGTGCAAATCGTTTCATTGTTACTTCTGGAAGTTACAGGGAGACAGGTCAAAGGAGCGGCCTGGGTAACTCCGTCTGCATGTATGTTGGCGCAGACTGTGAGCCTCCCACCCATCACGGTTTGGGATTCGCTTTATTGCCTGGACAATTAAAAACTGGATAAAATTTAAAGGTGTTTTAGGTATCTATTTTTATTTTGTAGATTTTCTAGTTTACATCTTGCCCAAAAGGCAGTGTGCCCAAATGCATTGTCTTTGCATTTTATAATACAGTAAACGTTTTAAGTACCTGCTGAGCACAGTATACAGTTAGAATGATTTTTTTACATCTTTTAACTTTACCTTTTGCCCATTAGTGTCCAAGTGTCAACCTGGGTATATCCTGGGAGAAAATGATGGATTTAGTTGTTAATCTCTGATATTTGAAAAGAAAAATAATTCATCAGTTAACTCCTTTCACTATAAGCGAACTTTTATTAAGCTGTCGGAAGCTCATTGATTCAGTGAGATGTGTATTCACATCTCTTAGTTTCAAGGCGCCATGCGTAGTATTAAACACCATAGAACTTTACTATAGGAAGATGGTGTTAGTTACCTGTTGCCGTGAAACAGATTACCCTGAGGTTTAGAGACTAAAGCTGCACTCTTGTTTTAGCCGTTTTCTGTGGGCCAGGAATCCAGAAAAGACTTGAGTTGGGGTTTCGGCTTTGGTCTCATACACTCTGGTCAAGATGGGGTCATCTCCGATGTCCAGGGTATCCTGCTTATTATTTTTAAAAAGGTATTTTAGCATGATCTGCTTGCAAGGATATGTTGTTATTTTAATTGTTTGCTCTTTTTGGGGGGTGGTTAGAGACAAGGTTTCTCTATTTTTGGAGCCTGTCCTGGAACTCACTCCGTTAACCAAGTTCACCTTGAACTCACAGAGATCTGCCTGTCTCTGTCCCCCAAGTGCTGGGATTAAAGACGTGTAACACAGCAATCACCTGGCTTTGTTTGCTTATTTTTGAAGTTTCCAACCTTGATAGTTCAGGCTTTAGAGAGAGAACTGAGTTTTCAGTTACATTGGCTTTTTATAAAGCTTGAATTTTATAAGATTTAAACAAAAGTGTGCTGGTACTACTACCACCAAACAAAACAGTTCTATTAGCCAGTTGTGGTGGCACAAGCCTTTAATTCTAACACTTTAGAGGCAGAGGTGGGTGGATTTCTGTGAGTTCAAGGCCAGCTCTGGTGTACAGAGCGAGTTCCAGGACACCCATGGCTACATAGAGAATTCCTGTCTCAAAAACAGCAACAATAAAAACAGTTTTCATAGCCAAGAATCAAAGGATATAGTTTTGTTCAGAAACTGTAGGCAAAATGAGGACCACTTGATGGGAGGAATGAATGGGCACTTTGTGAAATTCTTGGCCTCTTTTTTTCCTTCTTTCTCAGGGAAGCCACTAAGTATCTCACTGAAGCCCTTCAGTCTGTCACCGAGTTAGAGCTTGAAGAGACCCTAGAAAAGATCATCGATGCAGTTGAAAAGCAGCCCTGTAAGTCACATTTTCTGATGATGCTTAAGTTGCTGTAGCTTCGTGTCCTCAGATCTAGACTTAAATGGAAATTGAGGCTCTGTTTATTAAGATATTCCAGAGTTCTGCAATACACACATCGCAGTGTCTTTTCCCAAAGGCTTAGTTCAGTTGTGACCTCGGGGTATTCTATTCCTTAATGGCCCTTTTGTAGTTTGTAATCCCTGGGGAGGTGGGATTGCCATGGTCTCTTTTCTATATTTAACTCATAAATCTGATCTTGTCCTTTAAAGGATTATATTATTACCATTATTTTGTATGTGTGGTATGTGTGTGCGCACACGCATGCGTGTGTGTGTGTGTGTGTGTGTGTGTGTGTGTACACCTATGCCACAGTATGTATGTGGAAGTCAGAGGACAACTTTGGAGTGGGTTCTTTTATTTTACCATGTGGATCTGAGGATCAAACTCAGGCATCAGAATTCTGTGACAAGGGCCTTTATGTGCTGAATCATGTCGCTGACCCTTAATGGTCACTCATTTCTCCCTTCACACCTGTGACTGTCTTTTTTTTTTTTTTAAGATTTATTTATTTATTATGTATACAACATTCTGCCTCCATGTATGCCCACACGCCAGAGGAGGGCGCCAGATCTCATTACAGATGGTTGTAAGCCACCATGTGGTTGCTGGGAATTGAACTCAGGACTTCTGGAAGAGCAGACGGTGCTCTAAACCACTGAGCCATCTCTCCAGCCCCCTGTGACTGTCTTATTAAGTCAGATACTCCTAAATGTTTGCAGGGGTGAGTGGGGGAGACAAAAGTGAGAAGGCTTAACTTGCCTGGTGTGCTGGTTAAGCACTTCATCTGCTATTGCAGGCAGCAGCCTGAAAAGAAGGAATGTTCCAATGTTTTTACTGCCCACAGGACAGGAATTGTAGCCTTCTCTCGTCTTTCTATATCACACCTTCAAAGGCAGGATTTCCGCACATTCTGTGTCTTAGTGAAGGTTGCTATTGCTATGAAAAGATACTGTGTCCACAGCAACTCTTACGAGGAAAACATCTAATTAAGGGGGCTCCCTTACAGTTTCAGAGGTTCAGTCCATTATCATCATGGCAAGGAGCATGGCAGCATGCAGGCAGATGTGGTGTTGGAGGTGTAGCTGAGAGTTCTACATCTTGCTGGCAACAGGAAGACAGCTGACTCTCTGGGTGGTATCCTGAGCATAGGGAACCTCAAAGCCTACCCCCACAGTGACGCACTTCCTCCAGCAAAGCTGCCTCTCCTAATAGTGCCACTCCCTATGCGATTATGGGGGCCAATTACATTCAAAATACCAGTCTTCCTTTAAAAAACTCCTTTACAATAAACAGTTTAGGAAATCATGATGATTAATCATTGTATGTTAGTTTCTAATGGCATATGGTATTTTTGCCTGAAAACAGAGTGATTAAGGGTGCCCGCTTTCTGATCAGGCCTAAGTTTGTGCTGCTTTCTAAACTGTTTTAGCTGTGTTCTTGGGCTGGATACTCAAGGTTGGTCTACCATCAATAAGAAATGGGTACAATGAGAGATTTTATGTGTGTGTGCGTGCCAGCCTCAAAAGTGTTGTAATTACTGCTGTGTACTTCTATATCCAGGATCTCGTGTAGCCCAGGCTGGCCTCAAGATTCTCTGTGTAGTCCAGGATGGCCTTGAACACCTGTTCCTATTGCTTCCAGTTTCCAAGTGCTAACCTGTTTGTTTTGTGACTTACGCCTTTACTAACCTTAGAAGGTGGGTGCTGTGACACCCGAGTTTTCAGCCCTGTTCTAAACTGTGACTTTGAACTTGCCGTTTCAGTGTCATCAGACATGATCGAGCGGTCCGTGGTGGAAGCGGCCGTCCAGGAGTGCCGGCAGTCGGTCGATGAGACTATGTATGTGGGTCACATCGGCTCCTTCCTGCGGGAGCCTTACCAAGGGAAAACAGTGGGTGGTCAATAGTTCTACATTAGAAGCCATCGTTATTTGTTTCATTTTAAGTGAGCCCACATTATAAATTTGATTGCTAAATGATTTGTCTTTACTGTTTTTTTTCTAGTGAGATTATAGTGTTTGTTTATTACTGACGTGGTGTGTTCCCAGCCTATTTCATAGTCTGTGCGTTATGAATGAATTAAATTGAGCATCAAAAGTATAGTTTATTGTTTGGGTTGTTTGAGACAGGTCTCATTATATGGCCTAGATTTTGCCTTCTTAGTGCGAGGATAATGGGAAGCACCATCACACCTGTGACTGTCGTATCTCTCGAAAGTAGTGGAATGTACAAGCTAAAAACATTATCCTCTTATTTGTAACACTATAAAAAAATTGGTCATGGCTTGAAGAAAATGTGCAGAGTATTATATGCAAAAAATTATGATGTGAATTACTACTATTTATAATCCTTGTGTTTTAATAAGTTTGGTCTGTGTTTTATGGGTTGCTTTTCAGAGAGCATATTTTCAATATTATTGGAGCTTTTGATATTCCACATTTTGTGTACAGTTCAGAAAGAAAAAAATTCCTCCCGTAAGTATACCACATATCATTTATTGATTTAATTTTTTTAAAGATTTATTTATTTTACATGCATGAGTATTTTGTCATGAGTATATGAGTATGACCACGTGTATGCCTGGTGCTATGAATCTCAAAAGGGGGCACTGGATCTCCTGGAGCTGGAGTTACAGTTTTTAGCTTCTGTATGGGTACTGGGAATTGAACTTAGGACCTCTTCAAGAGCAACAAGTGCTCTTATCCACCGGGCTATCTTTCTACTTGTTGATTAAGTGAATTTCAATTGTATAATTTTTCACAAAGTTTTATGTTTCACTTTTGATTGACCTTTGTATTAATTTTTTTAATATTTATTTATTTATTTATTATGTGTACAGTATTCTGCTTGCAGCACCAGAAGAAGGCCTCAGATCTCACTACAAATGGTTGGGAGTCACCATGTGGTTGCTGGGAATTGAACTCAGGACCTTTGGAAGAGCAGTCAGTGCTCTTAACCTTTGAGCCATCTCTCCAGCCCCTTTGTATTAATTTTTTATAACTATCATATATGTATATATATAGTTTATATATATGCACATATACAGACATACATACTTAAATGGTATTCCTTTTCTTCTAGTCTATCAATGACTAATCACGCTGCGCCAACCTTATTTGGAACAGCACGAGATAAAGCTGAGCTGTATCGTGAACGGTATACTATCTTACACCAGGTAAATTGGGAGTGGGGGAACACTAGTAAATTGGGGAGAAAAAGAGCTTTGGGAAATCTCAAGGATGTTTAAAGAATGCAACTTTGTAGATTAAAGCTGGTCATTCAAATCTGGGTTCCATAATTCCAGTATTTAAGATTGCAGAGGCAGGAGGATTGCTGCAAGTTTGAGGCCAGCCTGGTGTACACAGTGATTTCCAGACCACTGGGACTTTATAGTAGGACCCTGTCCCCAAACAACAGAGAAGGTCACTGTAGACTGTTCATGGGTTCTGTGGTTGACACCCCATGAGAACACAGGGATATGAAGTACATTTCCCTTTAGATGTTAGGGAGTGGCCAGCACTCAGTACCTGGTACTGAGATGTCAGGCTTTGTTTAGTGCTTTGCATGCATTTCCCCCTCATTTAGTTTGCTAATGTGACTTGGCTGTCGCCAGTGGTTAATTTTGTTTGTAAGCCTGACCTCCAGAAGGATAGGGAATTATCCTCCCACCCACTCCAGTGTGAGCTGTGCCATCCACTGGCCTAAAGACAAAGGAAAACAAGGAAGCAAGCCAAGCAGCTGAGCCCCATGTTTCCCCTGCACCTCTCCATGGTTAGCATGGACTGTAGTTCTCAACCATGAGCCAAGTAAAGCCCTTCCCACCTAAGCTTCTTTCTATTGGACATTGGGTTGCAGCAGTGGATGAGAGAATTAACTAATACAGAGCTTCCCACAGCCTTCTTCCTTTGGATACCCCAATTTCTTAGCCTGAAGCATCTTGGCTCACCCTCTTTTTATCCCTTCTGCGTTCTCTCAGTTGGGTCTTGGGTCTCTTTTGGCCTGGTGTATAGCCAGCGCTTACAGTACTGTGTTTATGGTGGTGTCGTAGTCAAGGTTTCCATTGCTGTGAAGAGACACCGCGGCCACGGCAAACATTTCATTGTGTTGGCTTGCCTACAGTTGAGAGGTCCAGTCCATAATTGTCATGACGGGAAACAAGGCAGCATGCAGGCAGACGTGGTGCTAGAGAGGTAGTTGAGATCTTGACTCACAGGCGACAGGAAGTGGTCTGAGACACTGGGCATGACTTGAGCATCTATGAGACCTTCAAGCCCGTCTCCACATACCTATTCTAACAAAGCCATGCCTCCTAATAGTGCCATTCTCTTTGGGGGCCGTTTTCTTTCAACCACAGGTGACTTTTCTCTTTCTCGCTAGCTTCCAAGTTCAGGGTTTTAAATACTTTTTGTTTTAGAAGCTGCCGTAGGGATTGGGGATTTAGCTCAGTGGTAGAGTTGCCTCGCTGGTGCAAGGCCCTGGATTTGCAGTGGGAGGATTTGCCTTAAGGACAGTGTTTTCTCTTCAGTGTTTTAATGACTCTTTTAAATGTTTAGTTTAGTAATTCATAGGGATCTCTCTTTTTTCACAGAGGACGCACAGACATGAATTATTCACTCCTCCGGTAATAGGCTCACACCCCGAGGAAAGCGGAAGCAAATTCCAGGTTTGAGCACTGTCTTAATTATTTAGGGGCTGTATATATTAATACAAGTGCAATATTTATTGTTATGTTTTTTGTACACTTCTTTCTGTGTGTGCTCCTGTGTATGTGGAAGTCAGAGCAGCTTGCAGGAGAGGTTCTTTATTCCACCACGTGTAACCTAGGCATTGAACCCGGGTCATTAGGCCTAGAGCCAGGTGCTTTTCCCTAGTCAGCCATCTTTTTTTAATTTTTGCTTTAGACAAGGTCTCACTATGTACCCTGGCTGATCTGGCACTTGCTCTGTAGACTGGCTGGCCCTAGACCCACCTACCTCTGCCGCCCAATGTACCCAAAGGCATGCACCACCATGCCTGGTTAATTCCTTGAATTTTAATTGAAAATAAAGCCATGTACCTGTTAAACTGGCTGTAGGCCTGGCCCACGACTGTTGCTGGTAAGTGTCATGCCCAGTGCTGGGGGTTCCGTAGCTCTTCAGTAGAAGTTACTTCATCTTTGGAGCAGGCCTGGTACCGGGGAACATACATTTAGTCTCCAGCCCCCAGACCAGTGCCAGTCTTCCCGAGCCCTGCGCTGGCTTCCTGACCAGCTTTTTGTTACCTTTTGTGTTCTCACTCAAAACACTGATTATTGCACATCCTTCTCTTGATCACCATACCTGTGACACTAAAATGTGTCATATCAGTTGTAAGGAAAACTTATGTATCAAAGGACATTGGTTTCGGTACCCGCCCCCCAGGTGTGCTGAAGAAGCCGTGAAGAATGAGTGAGAACACAGACGGCCTTACTGGGGTAACTTGGGAGGAGAGCTGACCTGTGTGCACCTTCCACTGCTGTAGTTCGGAAGATGATTCCAAACAGCTCAGTCATTTTTGTTCAGCAGTAGGCGTGGCCTGGCCACCGTTTGTCTGTGGCTTTCTCTTCCTCTCCAGTGCTCGGAACCCTGCTTAGAAGTCCTTGCTTCTTCTGTCTGGGCCTTGCCAGCGTCCTGAGGGTCAGATGGATTTTGAAGAAGTCCAGCCTCTCCAGTGTTCCTTAGGTTCTCTGCCTTGGTAGATCAGTCCTCATGCTGAGGACTCTGCTAGAGGCTGAAACAGTAGCCCTGGATGACGTTAAAGTTATGTTTGAGAGTGTGGTCATCGGGCCTGTGATCCTCGAGCTTGGAGGCAGGAGAGTGAGAAATTCAAGGTCATCCCCCTTCATTCTCAGCTTGGTTGTGAGTTCGAAGCCAACTTGGGCTGCATGAGACTCTGTTTCAAAAAACCAAAAGTAACGTTCAGTGATGGCACACAAAGAGAAACCACTAATAGTTATTTGTCAGTTTCTGCACTTAACTGTATCACAGCGTAATTTGTGTCGTTTTCGAAATCGACGCTACTTAAATTTCCGTACAAAGTCTGTGTCACGTGTTAGGTTTCTGACGTCAGCTTGCGTGTCCACAGCCCAGAAGCAATGCCTTCTCTCCTCTTTGATGCTTGTGGCTCCATAATCTATTGCTCTTTTCAATCTTCCTATTTTTTTTAATATTTATTTATTTATTTATTATGTATACAACATTCTGTCTGTATGTATGTCTGCAGGCCAGAAGAGGGCACCAGACGTCATTACAGGTGGTTGTGAGCCACCATGTGGTTGCCGGGAATTGAACTCAGGACCTTTGGAAGAACAGGCAATGCTCTTAACCACTGAGCCATCTCACCAGCCCCTCAATCTTCCTATTTAGTTCTGTGTTTGTAACAGTTTGTTTCCTATTTAAGCAACACTTAAGAACAAGCAGAACCCCAAGTAGGCTATTGGTAGACTCTGAGCGGAAAATTCCTATTATAAACTACAAAAATAGCATGTTTTGTGCATATTTGGAGGGCTGGGTTTAAGCTGAGTGATCAGACACTTGCCTAGCGTATCTAAAGCCCTGGGTTTGATTCTAAAAACAACAGTGTTTGTCATGCCTTTGTCCCGTGTTGCCTCATGTTGATGTTTTGAAATGGCATTCCAAACATCTACCATCAACCAAACCCAGGTCCTCTGCAAAACCGGTAACTATTCCTAATTGCTGAGCAATCTCACTAGTTCCCCAGACTCATTAAGTTTTAAGTCGTCTTCCTCACACAATGAAAGTGGGCCAGGCACGATGGCACCTGCCATCCTGCCTCTCAAAGAGCTGAGGTGCAAGAGTTGAGAGTTTTAGCCTAGCTTTAGCAACATAGCCAGGACTCTGCCTTGAAAAGTAAAAACAGGGCTGGCGAGTTGGCTCAGTGGGTAGAGGAGGACCTCCATGGCAGAAGGACAGACTCCCTTATAGTATCCTCTGCCTTCCACAAGTGCACCACACCACATTTCCTCTCTCCAGTACACAAATGTATGTGAGTATAAAAAAATAATTGAAAACCATATAAATAAGTCTTGTCAGTACGACTGAGCAGGTAAAGTCCTTGCTGTCAAGCCTGATGACCTCAACTTGATGCCTTGTGGTGAAGGAGAGAATGGACTCCCTCAGGTTGTTCTCTGACCTTCACAGACTCCATGTGTATGCGTGCCCCTTGCCCCAGTATGAAAGTAATATGGTGTATGCTTATGATTCCTGCCCTTGGGAGGCTATGCTATACAAGGGGTATCGGGTCAGCTAGGGCTATACAACAACAAAACAAGCCAGGAGGCGGTGGCATACACCTTTAATACTAGTACTCAGAAGGCAGAGGCAGCCTGATCTCTGAGTTTGAGAATGAGTTCCAGGACAGCCAGGACTACACAGAGAAACCCTTTCTTGAAAAACCAAACCAGACCAAAACAAACAACAAAAACACAATAAAACAAAAAAATATTTACTGTCTACAGTGGTACATCATCATGAAGCTCTAGTCATTGATAACCGTCTGAATAAATTATATTAGTCCTCTTTATTGTGTATTGTTTTGTTTTGTTTTAAGATTGTGTATTTGGGACTGGAGAGATGGCTCAGAGGTTCAGAGCAGGGGACTGCTCTTCCAGAGGTCCTAAGTTGAATTCCCAGTAGCCACATGGTAGCTCACAACCACCTGCGATGAGATCTGGTGCCCTCTTCTGGGCTGCAGGGACACATGCAGGCAGAATACTGTACACATAATAAACAAACAAAATGAGGTTTAAAAAAATAAATCAAAGATTGTGTGTTTGTAGCTGGACTGGTGCCGGATTCACTGTGGTCCAGGCTGGCCTCAGACACATCTTTCCTCCTTAGGTATGGATCCCCATGCTTGACTTCTTTGGTTACATTTTTGGTCATTACACATTTGACGTTTTAGCTTTTTGTAGGACAAAACTTGCAGATTACTCTTCCTACTGTAAAGCAGCTGTATGTAGTAACCTTTACTCAGCATTTGCTTGTCTATAAGAAAATGAGACCATGCTTTTCATCATTCAGGATTTGTTCTCTTTTCTTTTAGCTTAAAACAATAGAAACTCTACTGGGCAGTACAAGCAAAGTCGGCGACGTGATTGTCCTTGGAATGATAACCCAGCTGAAAGAGGTAAGTTAAGACTGACGTGTTCCTTTTTACTTTTGGACTTGAGTTGGCTGTGCATTTTCATAAAAACCTAGCAACACAGTCTCCACAGGAAGCACAGAAGTGAACCTTCTCACCTGTGTCCGCTCCTGCGACATTGGTGGGACAGACTGACCAGGTGTTCAATTTGCATAGCCTCCGGGTAGACCCCCAAGTGACCCCTGCTTGAACTGGCTCTGGGTTTCTGAATGAGCCAGCTGCTGACCACATCCTGGTGCCCTGGAGGTGCTGGTCATTCTCTTAGCTGAAGGCATCTGGGGAGGCCGAATGGCAACCACCCAGGTTGTCCTTGTCAGCCTGTGGTCTGCAGCAGCTGTCCTTAGCGCCCGTGAGTCTCCCGTAAGCGACTAGTGAGTCTGAGGTTGCCAAGAAACGAACACAGGGGTGCGGGCTCGGTTTTCCGCCGACAGGATCCACTTCTCTCTCTTTCTCGTATGCTGTCGTATTCATTCTTACACCAATGTGAGTCTGTTTTGTTTCATTCTGTTTCAGGGGAAGTTTTTCCTGGAAGATCCTACTGGGATAGTACAGCTGGATCTTAGTAAAGCAATATCCTTAAAGAAAAAAAAAATCTGACCATTTTTGGTGATACATGCCTTTAACCCCATCACTTGGGAGACAGAGGCAGGTGGATCTCTGTGAGTTTGAGGCCAGCCAGGTCTACAGAGCTAGTTCCAGGACAGCCAGAGCTGCACAGAGAAACCCTGTCTTAAAAAACCAAAACAGAAATTCTGAGTCGGGTGAGCTGGCATGTGCCTTGAATCCCAGCTCTCTGGAGATAGAGGCAAGCCAATCTCTGTGAGTTTAAGGTCTATATAGTGAGCTCCAGGCCAGCCAGGGCTACATAGGGAGACCCTGTTTCAGAGCTAATGAGCTGGTTCAGTGGTTAAGAGCCTCTGCCTCCGTAGGATCTGGATTAAGTAACCAGCACCCACATGGCAGTGCACAACCATCTGCAACTCCAGTTCCAAGGGATCTGCCGCCCTCTTCTGGTCTCCTCAGGCAACAGCATGCGTATGATGTAGAGACATGCATGCAGGCAAAACACCCAAGCATATAACACAGAATAAAGTAATATGTTTTTGAAAATTTAAAAAGAAAACTCTGCTAGAGGCCTGGGAGTTTACCTTCTTGGGAGAGCACCTGCATAGCACCACAAACATATTAAATACATAAGTAAATGCAATTATTAAGTTACGTGAACTGGGGAAATTGCTTTTATATCGTTCTTCAACTTCTCTCTTTGGGTTTCCACTGTGACTTGCATGTGCTGGAAACATGGGAATGTAGACATACTCTTAGAGATTAAAATCCCTTAAGAATATTTTTTATTTATTATGTATACAATATTCTGTCTGTGTGTATGCTTGAAGGCCAGAAGAGGACACCAGACCTCATTTCAGATGGTTGTGAGCCATCATGTGGTTGCTGGGAATTGAACTCAGGACCTTTCGAAGAGCAGGCAGTGCTCTTAACCTCTGAGCCATTTCTCCAGCCCTGCCCTTAAGAAATTTATAGCATGCCGAGAATGACCTATACATCCGTGTGGAGTTTTTAGTTTGTTATTTAATTGAAAATTACATTTGGGTGTGTGTGTGTAATGTGTATCCATGTATATCATGGTGTGTCTGTGGACATCACAGGACAACTTGCAGGGGTTTGTTCTCTCCTACCACGCAGGTGCTGAGTGCTGAACTCAGTCTTGCCAATGCGTGTCTTTACCTGCTGAGCTGTCTTGCTTTCGTGCAGTTTATTATTTAAAACTCCTTTCAGGGCCTGGCATGGGTGCTCACTTGAAATCCTAGCACTTGGAAAGCTGAATTTTAGGGGGTCTGAGGCCAGTCCCGGCTGCATGTCTCAACTTGCCCTTGCAACAGACAAATAAGACCTCCCCTGCCCACACACCCTCCACCCCACAACACCAGAACAACCCCCTAAGAGAAATCTAAAACAACCCAGCGAAGCTAACCGAGCCTTGGGGCTCAGGCTGTGTGTTGGCGTCACTGCTGTTCCCAGCACAGTCTTGAACTTCCTCAGCTGTCTGCACCAGTTCCACAGCGGCTTATACACGGAGGCGTGCTTTGTCCTGGCTGAAGGTAAGCGCGCGCGCGCGTTCTTTCCACGCCCTTGCTGGACAGTAAAACTTCTGCTTGAGGATGACCCCTCATGATAGAATTCCAGCCGGCAGTCATGGTGAGCAGGTGACCTCGGCATGATGAGCAGGTGACTTTTAAACAGGCCATTAGAAGGCTCTCTGGGCTGAGGGAAAGCCTTGAGGTTAGACGGGAGGAACTGCACACCGCGTGTACTGGAAACCACCCATGTGCAGGCTGTGTGATGTGTGAGTCACAGCTTGTAAAACTGAAAAAAACCTTTGGACTTCATACAGAGTCACACAATCATGTCTCACCGAGGGGCTGCTCTCCCTGCACTCCACCGTGTGCTCTGAATCCCTCTCACCCCCGCTCCACCCTAAAATATGAGTCTGTTGAGATGGGGTATACTCGTTAAATGTAGCTTCCCTTATAAAATTTGAATTGTCTGTGGCTCTAGAGTGGGCTTTCTCAGTAAGATCGGTGACTTCTGTGGTCTAATTCATTGCTTTATGTGGGATGGATTTGTCTTTTCAGAAAAAGGTGACTGAGCAGATAAAAGTGAGTTGTTACTTGTTTATTTTCTTGTTTCTTTAGGTTGGTTTGAAGATCAAGTGTTTCATGTCAATGCCTTTGGATTTCCACCCACCGAGCCCTCTAGCACCACAAGGTATTAAATACTTGATTTCTGTGCCACAGGAATTTATATACTGGCAATGGTGGACGTACATAGTGTATCTCAGCCACTACAAGGCGTCAGGCTTTGTGTTAAAATGGAACAAGCAATAGAAGCTGACCTGTTGATGGTCTCTTGACAGTTTTGTGGATAATCGCAGCCAAGCTGATTAAAATGGAGGTGGCTGCTGTGCTCTGAGGACAGCTTTTGAAGCGTTCATACTGAATATTCCTGTTATAGCTGTTTTCATGTATATGTTTTAAATAATTTGCAGGCAAAATGCTTCATCTCTGGAATACTGTGTTGGACGATTGTATGTCTGGCACAGTTTTACTTTCTCGGTGAACAGACATGGTATAGGTGATAATTGTGTTATAATTATATAGGGCGTACTATGGAAATATTAATTTTTTTGGAGGGCCCTCTAATGCGTCAGTGAAGACTTCTGCCAAGCTGAGACAGCTGGAGGAGGAGAACAAGGACGCCATGTTTGTGTTTGTGTCTGACGTTTGGTTGGACCAAGTGCAGGTGTTGGAGAAGCTTCACGTCATGTTCTCTGGTACGTGTTATTTCTGTATTTCCTCCTGAACTGTGCTGAGGGATTGTGTCCTAAAGCTAAATGTGTGCCATTCTGTGGTGGTAGAGTGCATCTGTGGGCCCTGAGGCGTGGGAGCCTGAGGTGGGGGAGTGAGCCAGGACTAGAGATTAGCCTGGACTGTGTAGGCAAACTTCTTCTAAAAAGAAAACAACCAACCCAAACTTTCACAGTTATAGCCAGCCAGACGCCCTTAGTCCCATTGCTTGGAAGGCGGAGGCAGGCGGATCTCTGTGAATTGCAGCCTAGCTATATAGTGAGATCCTGTCTCAAAAATAATTAAATTAATAAAGCAAAATGTTCTGCCATGAAAATCTATGTTTTTTTATCCACTAGGTTATTCACCGGCACCTCCAACCTGCTTCATTCTGTGCGGTAACTTTTCATCTGCACCCTATGGAAAAAATCAAGTTCAGGCTTTGAAAGGTATTGAGGATCTCGTTTGTTTAGAAGAGTGTTTCTGGGGCTGGAGAGATGGCTCAGAGGTTAAGAACACTGACTGCTCTTCCGGAGGTCCTGAGTTCAATTCCCAGCAACCACATGGTGGCTCACAACCATCTGTAATGAGATCTGGTGCCCTCTTCTGGCATACATGGAGGCTGAACACTGTGTACATAATAAATAAATCTTAAAAAAAAAGAAAAAGATTGTTTCTAAGATGGTGATGCACACCTTTAATCCCAGCACTCAGGAGCAGAGGCAGACTCATCTCTGTGAGTTCAAGGCTAGCCTGTTCTACAGCGTGAGCTCTAGGATAGCCAGGGCTTCACAGAGAAACCTGTCTCAAAAACAAAACAAAACCCAATAATTATTGAGTGTTTCTATATTTATATAAAGTATATTGATAAATTATATATAATATTTTAATTTTGTTCAGGAGATATATGGCTGTGTTTAATTAACTGTAACTTTATGGACATATACAAATGAAATATCTCTAAATTTTTTTAGACTCCCTAAAGTCTTTGGCAGACATAATATGTGAATACCCAAGTATCCACCAAAGGTAAAGATCTCTCTGGCTCCCTTTTTTGTTTTTAACCCAAAATAGTTTTTTTTTTTTTAAACTTGAATAATGAAGTTTATATCAACAATATAAAGAAATTGCCTGTAGAAAGAGAAAGAGTTGAGAGTATTAAAAGATCCCGGGATAAAATTCTCACATCATCGTGTTTGTTACACTGCTCTCTGGATTTGTGGTGAATCCAGACTGGAGAGCGGCAAGTGCATTTTGGGTTGTGGTGATGCTGGACCTTAGTGTGATCGTCAGCGCTCTCGTGTGCGGTGATATTGTGTTCCAACAAATAAAGCTTGCCTGAAGATCAGAGTGCAGAAGTAAGCCACTAGAGGCCAGGGAGTAGTGCACACACCTTTAATCCCAGACTCCAGAGAGGGGGGGGGGCCTCTCTGTGAGTTCAAGGCCACCCTGGACTTCACTAGACTGTTCTAGTCTCAAAGAGAAACAAAGCCAGGCCATGGCTCACACCTTTAATCCCAGCTCTAGGGAGATGGAGACAGGAGTGATATGGCTGGGTGGAGAGAGGAATATAAGGTGGGAGGAGACAGGAGCTCAGATGCAGTCTGAGGACACAGTCTGAGGACACAGTCTGAGAACACAGTCTGAGGACACAGTCTGAGGACACAGTCTGAGGACACAGTCTGAGGACAGGATTGCCTTTTTGGTCTGAGGATTCAGTAGAGGTGAAAAGTCTCTCTAGTGCATGGCTGCTCTGCTTCTCTCTCAGCTTTCACCCCCTAATATCTGACTCTGGGTTTTTACTAAGAACAGTGAGAATTTGTGCTATGCTCATGTGCCTCTATAAAGATAAACTCCTGGGCTAGCAAGATGGGTAGAGGTGCTTGCCAAACCTAGTAACTGTTCAGTTCCTGAGACCCAAAAAGGAGAAAACCAACTCCCACAAGATGTCCTCTGAATTCCACATGTGTGCAATAGCAGACATTGGCTCGTACACACATACATATACGTGTAAAATGTACACACACATGTAAAATTAAATGAGATCCAGTCCATCAGCCACACTAGCCACAGTAAGAGCATACTCAGTGACTGGACGGTGCAAATGCAGAACACTTGGTCACCACAATAGTATTACATAGTTTGGATTGGAGACTTTTAGCAGTTTATTGAAATGTATGAAATAAAAAATAATCGTAGGTAGGCATAATGGCATCCAGTACTGGGGAGACGGAGGACTGTAGATTCAAGGCTAGCCCGGACTATATAGCAAGGCGCCTGTGATTCACCCGAAGGCAGTGACTTGGGGCAGTGTTGCAGGCGTCATTTCTAATGGCTGATGTTGCATTCCCCTGCAGTAGCCGCTTTGTGTTTGTTCCTGGTCCTGAGGACCCTGGATTTGGTTCCATCTTACCAAGGTAATCTTTGTTCACATTTTTCCCCCTTTTTTGACAGTCAAGAGAATTGTATTAACTTTGTAAACACATCCTCTGTCACGTTGTCTTCCCAGGCCTCCGCTTGCCGAGAGTATCACGAAGGAGTTCAGAGAAAGGGTGCCGTTTTCAGTGTTCACTACTAACCCGTGCAGGTAGGTAGCAGCGTTTTGCGTTGAACTTCTTTCATTCCATTTAACAAATATTCTAATTTATTTCTGAAATCTGAGTAAATCTAAAAAGAAATTTTGATTTTGGGGTTCTCAAGGTTTGAAAAGTATTTTAACTTTGTTCAAATCCTTAACTGATAGTGAATTTATGGTCTCTGGGTTGGCCGACATTATTTTTAGCTGTCTCATGAACCCCATGCATGTGGGCCCAGATGTCCACCGAAATCTCACTCTGGATGCCCAGTAGATAAATGACAGCCCCGATCCTGCCCCAAGCTGCCGTCTCTCACCTATTCTGGGGCCGTAACCATAGAAGTTTCCCTTACAGTTTTTGAGGTAGCCCTATCTTCTTCACAGCTCACCTTTGACCTCTGTGACCCACCGTCTTCTATAATCTGGATCAGTAACCTCTACACTGGTCTCTGGCTTCTACTCTTCCCCCTGTGTGGTCTGTTTTTAACACAAGAAACCCTATCATGTCGTCCCTGTGTTGAAAGATGGGGTCTCTGCTGCCATTGGCAACAGTCCGCATCCGTGCAGTGTCCTCCGTTCCCACTTAAATTTCCTCTCCCAGTTACTTCCAGCCTCTGCGCCCCTAGCCCGCGAGCACACCCCAGTCTTGGTGCTGGGTTATGCCTCTTCCCCTGCCCGCAGTGCTCCTCTTCCAGAGGTTTCAGGTCACCGCCTGATGAGCCTTCCCCGCTTTAACTCTGTCTTAATCCCCAGCCTTCTGAACCCTTTCCTCCCCAGGTACAATTCCACTTCGCCTTTCTCTCCTTTCCAGCATACATCAGTGTCGTGTCTTTAATTTCTCTGGCCTCTTCCCCCGTGAGAATGTCAAATATAGAAGACTCATATCTTTTTCTTCTGTTCTGCTCACTTACCTTGTGCATAGCGTTGGGCACACATTAAGAGCTTAGTAAAGGGCTGGGAGCACATCTCAGTGGTAGAGGGCTTTATGGGAAATGTAAGGGCTTGGCTCAAACCCTAGCTCTGTGTACACACACACACACACACACATTCAGAGAGAGAGAGCAAGAGAGAACTCCAAATAATTAAATTGGAGAAGAGATGAGATGGCCTGGTTGAATTTCTGCTGTGGTGACCATTAAGAAATGCAGTGGGGAATATTGATATTAAAAGACTTAAAATTATTTTTTTTCCCGAGGAAGTCAAATATTCAACTACTGCTTTTTTTTTTCAACTACTGCTTTATTTCAGAATTCAGTATTGTACACAAGAAATTATTATCTTCCGTGAAGACTTAGTAAATAAAATGTGTAGAAACTGTGTCCGTTTTCCTAGTAGCAATTTGGATATTCCTACTCATGTAAGTAGTCTCCTTGACAAACTACCTTTTGTTTTATATTTATTTATTAATTTGTATATATGGGTGTTTTACCTGCATGTTGTGTACTGAGCCATGGTTGTGTCTGATTTTTCTTTAAGAAATGGGTCTTACTGAGTTACCCAGGCTGGCCTGAATTCCTAGGCTCAAATAATCCTCTTAGCCTCCTCTGTAGCTGGCCTAGCTACACTATCATGTCCAGCAGAATCAAATTGGTATTATTAGTTATTATTATTTTAGATTTTTGGAGACAAAGTCTCCTGCTGTAGCCCAGGATGGCCTTAAATTCGTGGCAATACTCAGCTTCGTAATTGGTGGGAGTTCAGATTACCACACCTTTTTATTTTTTTATGAGTTGGATTGGTAAATGACTATATATGTGTGGTTGATTCATAATGACTAAAGGGGGCACGGTGTTATGAACAGTGACATTAAATGAAAACTTAGATTGTTTTTCCTAGAATATGTGATAATTTCATTCTAAGAGCAATGTTTATTGATGTTCTGTGATTCAAGACTTCCTTGTTGGGGCTGGAGAGATGGCTCAGAGGTTAAGAGCATTGCCTGCTCTTCCAAAGGGCCTGAGTTCAATTCCCAGCAACCACATGGTGGCTCACAACCATCNATTCAGAATTGTCAGAAATGGCTTCAGGATTGTCTTAAAGTCTTACACTAGCTCAGGCCTAGTCCTTTAGAGGTCCTTGACTCTCATCTGGTCCTGCCGAGGTCTCTGGCATAAGTCTGTTTCCTTGGTGGTTGTGAGTTCAGTTCCCAGCAACCACATGGTGGCTCACAACCATCCGTAATGGGGTCTGGTGCCCTCTTCTGGCCTGCAGGCATACACACAGACAGAACACTGTATACATAATAAATAAATAAAATATTTAAAAAAAGACTTCCTTGTTTTGTAAATATTTTTGTAAAATTTTTACAAATTTTGTGTATTTTGTAAAATTTACAAAAATTTTGTAACTAGATCTTCATGAAAATCAATGCTTTATTTAAACTCCTTGCTCCACTGTTTTTGTGTGCACTGATGAGGTGTTTTGCTTTGTTTGTGTTCTGTTGTAGTTTGTCAAGACGGTCTTATCTCAGGGACACCTGACTCCTCTACCCATCTATGTCTGCCCCGTCTACTGGGCATATGATTACACCCTGAGAGTGTACCCTGTGCCCGACCTGCTGGTCATCGCAGACAAGTATGACCCGTTCACTGTGACCAACACGGAGTGCCTCTGCATGAACCCTGTAAGGATGTCGTGGATGGTCAAGACTATAGTGCATGGTCTTTCTTCTAATTTTCAAACCTACCTCTTGTGTGTCCGTGTGTGTGTGTGTGTGTGTGTGTGTCTGTGTGTGTCAGGGTGTGTGTGTGTGTGTGTGTGTGTGACAGGGTGTGTATGCCATGGTGAGAGTCAGTTCTCTCCTTCCATGTGGGTCCCAAAGATGGACCCAAGGTTGTCAGGCTCAGCAGCAGGTACTTTACCTGTTGAGCCACTTTGTGTCCTACAGCACATTTCTATGAATTTATATAGAGCATAAAATCATTGTGATAAAATACATAACTAGTCCAGCACCATATAGTTTAGTATACATAGAAGATTTCCAGACTCTCAGTATGTGATACAACTATAAAATATTTTAATTTTCTCTTCTTGTTTTGTTTTGCTTTTTGTTTTTTAGAGACAGGGTTTCTCTGTGTAGCTCTTGCTGTCCTGGAACTCACTCTGTAGACCAAGCTGGCCTTGAACTAAGAGATCCACCTGCCTCTGCCTCTCAAGTGCTGGGACTAAAGCTGTGCACCACCACCACCTGGCTTAAATTTTTAAATAACAAGCAGACCAAAATATGAAATCAAATAAGTATTTTTCCTTTCAAGGTAGCAAAGTCACATACACTGTGCAATCCTCTTTGGGAGCTGCTTTCAGATCCTGTAGCCATTTCCTTAACCTTGTTGATGCTTCTCTTTTGAGAACTGTGACTCGTAGAAACTGCCCAAATGCCCAGAATCCAAGCCTGGATGGATGAGATTACATTATGCTGCACTGAACTTCATTTTTCTACAGAACCCTGAAACTACTCTAGAATGTTCAAACTGCTTCAGTGTCTGGATATATGATTGGCTTTAGGACGTGGAAAATACATACCAACCACACAGATAATCACATAAACATAGTTTATATCAAACAAAGTATTGTCTTTACTAGTGCTGTGTTTGTTTTGATAGGAGGCAGGGTATCATTGTGTAGTCCTGGAACCCTGTATAGACCAGGCTGTCCTTAAACCCAGAGACCCACCGGCCTCTGCTTCCTGAGTGCTGGGATTAACAGTGTGCCCTACTACACCTGGCTCCTTTGTGATTTTTAATTTGCATGCTGATTCTTAGGAACTCTAAGTCTGAATACTTCTTTGTTTCATCCGGGTCATGACTAGAAGCATTATGACTTGGACTGGTTGTTTCTGGCACATGTACATCTGTGTGGCTTTCTCTACACAGGACTTATCAACCTTGGCACTTTTGCATCTTGGACCAAGTAATTCTTGGTTGTAGGGGGTTTCCTGTGCAGTGTGGGAAACTCAGCAGCATCCTTGCATCCCACTGTATGCTGCTGATACATCTTTCATTTGTGACGATCATAAGTATCCCTAAATGCCTGAGTGTCTCTTGAGGGATGGTGACCCTTGGTTGGGAATCATTCTCTAAGGATCAGAAAGGATGTGTACCGTGTGTGACTGGTGCCTGAGGATGTCAGAAGAAGGCATTGGACTCCCTAGAACTGGAGTCACGGATGACTGTGAGCTGCTATGGGGTGCTGGGAACTGAACCTGGTTCCTCTGCAAGAGCATCGAGTGCTCTTCACAGCTGTGCCATCTCTAACCCCTCAGTCTTTATTACATTCAACCATCCTTTCACAGTGAGACTGTTTCCTCATTGGATATTCTCTTTAGACATCTGTTAAATCTTTGAACACTTTTGTAGTTGATGCTATTTTAAAAACAACTTACCAAAGAATTTCCCACTCTTTGAAGTGCATCATTCTCTTATTCATACATTTTGGTCAGCTTCAAAACTTGGCTTTGATATTGCTTCATTACTTTTTTTTTAAAAAAAATGATTTTTTTTTTTGGGCAGTGGCAGCATATACCTTTAATCCCAGCACTTGTGAGGCAGAGGCAGGCGGATCTCTGTGAGTTTGAGGCCAGCCTGGTCTACAGAGCAAGTTCCAGGACAGGCTCCAGAGCTACATGGAGAAACCCTGTCTCGAAAAACAAAGAAAAAAGATTCTTCTTATTTTTTAAGTTATACGTGTCTCTGGCTATGTGCATTTGAGTGCAGGTGCCCCCAGAGACGGGGGTGGGGGTGGGGGGGTGGTCAGATGCTCCTGAAGCTAGAATGGTTTTGAACCACCTGAAGTGGGTGCTGGGAATTGAACGTAGATCCTCTTGAAGAGCAGTATATGTGCTTAACTGCTGAGCCATCTTTCCAGCTCCATTTTTTTTCTTTCTTTCATCTTGGTACTTACTTATAGTATCGAGTGCTTGCTGTAGGCCAGGCATTGAATCAGGGCTTCAGACAGACTGAAAAACTTGAACCTCTGAGGTAACATTAGGGCTTCATCATAGACAGTTGCTTGTAGTTCCTGCTTAGTGGTGCCGGGGGCACTCTGGAATCCTGCCAATTCGCCATTGAGGCAGGGGAGACTACTTGAACACGAGGTCTGTCTTCTGTGTGTGTTTAATATTTCACAGTACTCCTTGTTTCCACACTGAGCCATGCCAGAGCATTTCCAGGGACACTTACTGACAGAAAACTGGTCAACTTAAAAAGACTACTCGATTGTGACATTTTATAGTAACCTCTAAAAAAAAAAAATCACGCTAACATCTATTCTATTTTATTGTCACATCTTGTAATTTTTTTTTTTTTTTTTTTTTTTGGTTTCTCCGTAGCTTTTGGTTCCTGTCCTGGAACTAGCTCTTGTAGACCAGGCTGCACATATTGTAATTTTAAGTTATGGCTAAGAAATGTGATTCTGAAAATAGGGATTATTTTTTACAAGTCAAATAGTCACTTGTGGACATTTTTGTCTCTCTAAAGGGCTCTTTTCCAAGAAGTGGATTTTCATTCAAAGTTTTTTACCCTTCCAGTAAGACCGTGGAAGACAGGTGAGCTTGGCTTTCTCTTGCTTTTCCATTGCTGAAAGTCATATTTGCTAGGTATGCTTAGATTTTCTGTGTATGTCTGCAGCGGCTCACTGGGAATGCTTTAGACTGAACAGTAGTCAGGCTAAGTTCTTGCTTGGTTTGTTTCTGTTGATAAGAACTTTTTTAGTGATTTCTCAGGCTGGCGACTGAGGATGCTTCCTACTCCTCACATAGGTCAGCCCTGTCTTCCACGGGATTGTTTCTCAACGCCTAGGCAAAGTAGTAGCAATGTAGAGAGATGCTAGATGTGTGAAGTGATGGGTTCACAGGTCAGAAATGAGTGATAATGTTTAATTTAATTTTATTTTTCTATTTCAGCAAACTTCAGGGCTTTTGAGACTCATGAGAATAAAGGAAATGAATTTTCTCATTTTTTATCTTGTGTAATTTGTATATTAAATTGTAATAAAATTATGGCAAACCTTAGAAAGTTCAGCACAGGTTGTATTTAATAAAATTTGATGTTATATTACACTTCAGAAAGTTTTATAGAAAACTATTTTCTCTGCTGTCTCTAAAACATGTAGATATTTTCAGATTACATATTTGTGCTTGTTTAATTCCATGCTAGTCACAATCCGTTCATTTTAGAAAATAAGTATTTTAACATTTTGAGAAGCTTTTCAGTCTGACTTGGGTTATTGGCACCATAATTGTATTAATAAATTCACACGTAAAAATTCTTTTTACAAAGTTGAGAAAAATCTGTTTTAGGGTGTTGGTATTTACAACATAATTATCCATAACTTTTTAATTTTTAATTATCATTCCCATAGTTTTTATACTTATAAAACATACGATTTTTGTTTAGTTTTTTGCTTTTCTGGGGATTGAACCCAGAACCATCCACACTGCTAGGTAAGCACTGCACTACTGAGCGACACCTGGAGCCGGCGGTCTGCTTTGAATCACACTGTTCTGTGTGAAGACAAACTGTGAAGTGGCTGGACCTCTGATGGACATGGTGACTCAGACCAGGCGTGGAAAGCAGCAGATAGTGGGGCCACAGTAGGACAAGGTAGGACTTGGTAGCTGAGCGGCAGCGAAGGGTAGTAAAGAGGAATCAAGGATATATTTAGATACAGGCCTAAAAGCCAGGGAGGTATTTACCGAGACCTCAGGTTTGAGAGGTGTCAGGGTTTCTGTTCTGAACATGGTGAACTGCCTAGCCAATGTTCAGGTAGAGAAATCTAATGTGTGGGTCTCCAACGCTCAGTGGTCAGGTATGAATGAAGGTCTAATCTTGTAGGCAATAGTTACCACAAAGTAAGACCCACGAAGGCATCTTACTTGTTTTTAATGAAGTTTGGTTTTGAACTCATGAGTTTTCTGCCCTTTCCTCCTACGTGGTAGATTATAGATATGCACCACTCTACCTGGCTCAAGGTCTTCCTTCCAAACAAAATCTGAAGCTTTCGAAATACAAGATATAAAGCCCCTCATTACCACACACACCTCAGCGCATCGTTGCCAGCTGTATACTGTTTTTCTATGGCACAGTGACTGCACCTGAACCTACCAATGCCTCAGCTGCCTCCACATAGGGAGTAAATGTTTTTACTAAGTCCCTGTCTTTTTATTTTTATCAATAAAGACTCGGGAGCCAGATGCTGGGGTGAAAAACCCACTAGCTAGCTCAGAGAGGCAGAGAAAGCCCCTAGCTGCTCCGTCCTCGGTTGGAAGAAAGAGCTTTTTTCTACCCCTGTCTAAAACACAACCTTCTCCAACCAGATGTCCTCTTCTACTTCCTGTGGCTCTCTTTGACTTCCTGGCTTCATCTCACTCGCTAAGGTGACTTCCAGCCAACTGGTTGCTCTGCCTCTTGACCGATTGTTGATTTTATTTACATAACGCAATCTCCGGGTTATCAGTGTGATCGAATATCCCGCAACAGTATACCCAATATCACAGTGTACCGTGATTAAGAAAGGGGCCTACCCTGGAAGACCACTCTTGTTCTTTTCCGGGCCCAACACTCCACTCCCCCTTTTCAGAACAACCATTAGTGTGGTATTTTCTTTCTCATTGACATAGTTGTATAGCCCAGATTCTACCAGTGAGGTTTACTTAGCCACATTTTTATTGACTGTGTAATGGACTATTCCCAGACATACGCATTATTTTGTATCGGTTTCTTTTATATAACATTACAGTAGTGGCATTCATTGGTATTGCTGTATAGCTGATGTGTGCTGGATATGTGCTGCTAATTATCCACTTGATTACGAATGAGAGCTAAGCTATTTTCTAGTATTTGAGGACTACTAACCAATAGTGCTGTTAAATACACACACACACACACTCTAAGGGGCTCAGTGGATAAGATTGCATATTGGTCTTCTAGAGGGTTCAAGTTCAGTTCCTTGTACCTATAGTGGGTGGCTTACAACCACTACAGTCCAGCACCAGGGACTTACTCTTCTGGTCTCAGTGGGCATCTGTACTCCTATGCACATACACACACAACTGAAAATAAATCTTTAAACTGTGCTTGTGTGTGTACAAACACATCTAGTGCATATGTTGTGGTGATGTTTCTGCTAGGCGTATACCTCGAAATGGAGTTTTTCATTATGTGCATATGTTCAATAGTAATCTCTACGTGTGATTGTTCAGCATGTTTCCCCAACATGAGAGAGAGCCAGTGGCCTGGGGTCCTTAGAGCACAATGATTTTATTTTCCTAGTGCTTTAGCATTAACTTATCAGGTTGGCAAGATGGCTTGGTGAATAAAAGCATTTGCTGTGTGCAAGCCTGACCACAGCCTGAGTTGGATCCCTGGTACCTACAGCGGAAATAGAGACAGACTCCCAAAAGTTGTCTTCTGACCTACACATGTGCATTAAATACAGGAGCATAAACAATGAAATAAATTCCCCAAAGAGCATTAGCCTACCTACATAGTAGGCAGAGTAAGAGGCTTTAGACCGTGATAAAGACAGGGAGGGGTGAGCCAGCACTGGGGTCCCATGTACAGGGAAACTGGCTGGTGCGAGCAAGGAGAGCAGAGAACAGGAGCTTTGAGTACTGACATCAAGAGACCAATGCATTCCAAGCCAGGCCTGCGACTGCTGAGATGAAGGATAATAGTCCAGAGTTCTGCTTTCAGCCATTTCAAGGCTCCAGGATTTGATAATTGTTACTCAAATGGAGACATCAGATGCATAGTTGAATGAATCTGGAGTTTAGGAGTTGAAACATAAGTTGGTTATTTGTGAGTTTATTTATTTATTATTTATTTATTTTTGGAGACAGGGTTTCTCTGTGTAGTCCTAGAACTCCATCTGTAGACCAGGCTGGCCTTGAACTCAGAGATCCACCTACTAGGATTAAAAGCATACACCACCATGTCCAGCTGAATACATAAAATATTTATATATTTGTGGAAGAAATGATGTGGGCTGGAAAGATGGCTCAGAGGTTGAGAGCACTGACTGCTCTTCCCAGCAACCACAAAGTGCCTCACAACCATCTATAGTGAGATCTGGTGCCCTCCTCTGGCGTGCAGGCATACATGCAGGCAGAACACTATACATAATAAATAAAATCTTAAGTAAAATTTAAAAAAAAGAGATGATGTAATGGTGACAAGGTGCTATCTTGGGACATTCTTAAAACCTAACAGAGGAAGACGTGCAGAAATGAGCTGGAAGGCTCGGGTGCAGCTCAGTGGAAGAGTGCTTGTCTTGTATGCGCCAGGCCCTCTCTCTCCCCCACACAAAAAAGGATGAGGTAAGAGAAAAACTTAGAAACGGCCTTCTAATGCCAATGTAAACTGTGCTAAATCCTGCACACATAAAACTGATCCTGGACTGGCCAATTATCAGTTCATAACCTTTCTCTGGACCTGGGGGTGTGGCTCGGTGGAAGAGTAGGTGTGAGATCCTGGGTTCGGTCCCTAGCACCATAACTAAACAAAATTCCTATCAAGTCTGGCGGCATAAAATTCCATTGTATTACTACCACACCTGCTGTATCAATTCCTTGTGGAGCTCCTATTTTTAGCTTTAGAATCACCCTGTTAGAAATTACTGAGTCGATCTAAGGATATGTGGCTTTCTTTCTTTCTTTCTTTCTTTCTTTCTTTCTTTATTTATTTATTTATTTATTTATTTTTGTCTGCATCCGTTGATGCCTGGCACTCTTGGATCCTCTGCGACTGGAGCTGCAGTTAACTGACATGTGGGTGCTGAGAACTGAACTCACGTCCTCTGGAAGACCAGCCAGAGTTCTTAATCATTGAGCAATGGCCCTGGAAATGTGGTTTTAAAAAGATGTGCAGTTTTAATTTTATTCTTAACCCAAGGAAGCTGGTCGGGATAAAGTGCGTGATTTTGCTAAATGATTTATGGATCTTATATTTACATTTGAAAAGTGAATAACGTTTCCCTGATTACAGGGATTTGAGATTTTCGAGTCCATCCTTTGCCTCCAGGAGTTGTTGTGGGACAATTATAAGGTGTTATACCTGAAAATGGAAGTAACAATAATTAGGGCTTAAATGTCGGTTTCACAAAATGAAAAGACTCAGATAAAAGTTAGGTTTGTGAATTGTAACCTTGGCTAGAAAACTTCTCATTTGTCTGTAGAAGTGAACGGTTAATAAGATAAAGACACAGTGCTGAAAATGAGGACAGTTATCACGATAGACTGCAAAGTGTGCCCTGGCACTGAGATCTCAAACCTGCAGCAGGTAGAATGGCTGCCTGGTTTGGAGAAAGGGCCTAGTTCTAGCAGTTCCACGAGATCACTGCCCCGCCTCCCAGGTGTTACTATGGCAACAAAGCACGCGCTGCCCTGCCATCCAGCCGTTACCTTCCTAAGGCTGGTCACTTGTGACACCAGACGCCAAGTGCGCCCTAAGACACTCCAGTTCGGGCTGATCCTTCACCCGGGTGAGGGGCCGAGTGGGATACCATGGCCAAGGGGGCGGCCTCCTCAGCGCTAGAGGACTTGGATCTGAGCGGAGAGGAGGTGCAGCGGCTCACCTCCGCCTTTCAGGACCCAGAGTTCCGCCGAATGTTCTCCGAGTACGCCTCGGAGATCACCGACCCTGAGAACCGGAGACGCTACGAGGAGGATATCACAGCACTGGAGCGGGAGCGCGGGGTGGAGGTGCGGTTCGTGCACCCGGAGCCGGGCCACGTGCTGCGTACCAGCCTGGACGGGGAGCATCGCTGCTTCGTGAACGTGTGCAGCAACAAGCTGGTAGGCAAGCCCAGCAGCCGGCCGGGCCCGGGGAGCGGCGGCACGGCAGCTGGCAGCCACTGGTCCCTGCCCTACAGCTTGGCGCCCGGCCGCAAGTATGCGGGGCGCAGCGGCTCCCGCTACACCGTCTACGACGTGGTCTTCCACCCGGACGCGCTAGCGCTAGCCCGGAGCCACGAGCGATTCCGCGAAATGCTGAACGCCACGGCCCTGGAGGCGGTGGAGCAGCAGTTCGGCGTCAGGCTGGACCGCAGGAACGCTAAGACCCTGAAGATCAAGTACAAGGGGGTGCCCGAGGCCGCCGTGCTCCGCACGCCCCTTCCCGGGGGTGTCCCTGCCCAGCCCGAGGGGGAGCCGCCCGGGCTTCTCCCGGACCTGCAGTACCCGTACCGCTACCCCGCGGCGGCGGAGAGCACGGCTCGCACACCGGCGCCCCCGGCTCCCCAGGCCGAGCAGCGGCCGGAGCCCACGGAGCCGCGCTGTACCGTGGTGCAGCGCCACCACGTGGACCTGCAGGATTACCGCTGCTCGCGCGACGCCGCCCCGAGCCCCGTGCCGCACGAGCTGGTGGTCACCATCGAGCTGCCGCTGCTGCGCTCGGCCGAGAAGGCGGAGCTGGAGGTGAAGGGGAAGCTGCTGTGCCTGGACTCCCGGAGCCCCGACTACCGCCTGCGACTCTCGCTGCCCTACCCGGTGGACGACGGCCGCGGCAAGGCGCAGTTCAACAAGGCGCGGCGGCAGCTGGTGGTCACGCTGCCCGTGGCGCTGCACATCGCGCGCCGGGACCTCGCCGCGACGCCGGAAGAGCCCGCGGCCGAGACCGGAACTGACGGCGCAGCCTGCGCTTCCGAGGGCGACCCTGCTGCCGCGCGGGCAGAGCCGGCGGAGCGGACCCGAGCCGATCGCGGGGACGAGAGCGGCGTGGGAGCCCCAGGGTTCGGGGCTGCAGACGCTGAAGGGGAGCGAGACTTCGGTGGGGACTCGGTGGCGTCTCCAGGCCTCGGGGAAGGTCCCCCTTCTGGGGACCGAAGCCTCCCTTGTTCTGCGTTCCCGGGCTGCGACACCGAGCCCCCTGCGGGAAGACGGGGACCGTGCGGAGACCTCAGTGCCCAGACGAGTGAGCAGCGGGAGGAGACCCTGCACGACGCCTCGGGCCCAGCCATGGGTGGCCCCGGAACCGAGAGCATCGAACCGTTGTGCCCTCCTTTGCGGTGTAATCAGGACGAGGACTCCTTGACTTTGCTCATTCAAGTGCCTCGGATTCAGCCGCAAAGTCTTCACGGAGACCTGAGTCCCCTCCGTTACAAATTGTGCTTCTCCACACCAGACTCGGGCTACTCCTTCACTTTGCAGTTTGCTCCAGAGAATACATTGAGTACCAAAGAACCCGAGATTAGCATTTCTTTAAACAATGCTGTGATAGTCCTGGCAAAATCTCCGGAGAGCCGTGGACGCTGGCGAGAATGGTATTGTGGCTTGAACCATGATTCTTTGGAGGTAACCGTTTTCACTATTAGAAATATTCCATCTTACTTTAAAATTTTTTTGATTACAGGCACGTACACAAATGTTTCCCGTCTATTCATATTATGAAAGATAGTACGCGGTAAGTGCGTTCTCAAAGCCAAGTGTGCACATATCCAAAGGTTGCAAACTGTTCTAAATATATAATTTTTCTAATTATTAGTTCACTTGCAAATTCATATACTGTTTAATCAAAGAGAATTTGAAACATTTCTTTGATTCTGTCCTCCTCATTGGACCACATAATAATCTTTACTTTATAATTATAATATTTCATATTTACTCATATAAGCACAGAAGATAATCTTATTTTGAGTAACAGTAAACTGATCTTATGAATTAAATAATTTTGAATATCGTTAGATGGTTGTTCCTCACTTGAATGCATATAAACAAGTTATATTGTGGTTAGATTTGGGTGATTGTGGTTTAAATTTTCTAGTAATTGTTGAGAATTCTGCTATTGTCTTAAAATCTATTTACTTTTTTTTTTCGAGACAGGGTTTCCCTGTAGCTTTGGAGCCTTCCTGAAACTTGCTCT